GATTGCTTTTGGTCATATGGTCATTTTTATTGTTAATCCTACCGATCCATGAGCACAGGAGCCTTTCCATCTTCCTCTTGGAAGCAGGGGAGAAAGGGGATACTGTGGTTGGAATTTAACATATGAGAGAAGAATAAAAAAGATTTAGAAACTATCTGACTTAGAAAAGATTTGTTGAGGCCAAGGAGGATGCCTCGGTGGGTAAAGTTCTTGCCATGCAGGCATGAGAACCTGGGTTTAATCTCCAACACCCACATAAAAGTCACGACGGTCTGTACTAGAGATAGGGAGATCAAAAGAGGAGGATCTCTGGGGCTTGCTGTCCAGCCAACATAGCCAAACCAGCCAGTTCCAGGGCCCAGAGAGATTTTTGTCTCAAAAAATAAGGTGATTGAGGAAGACACCAAACATCAACTTCTACTCTCCACATGCATGCACAGATGTCCACATGAAACACACACACACACACACACACACACACACAGAGAGAGAGAGACAGAGAGACAGAGAGACAGAGAGACAGAGACAGAGAGAGACAGAGAGGGAGAGAACAAAAGAAAAGGATTTGTTATGTAGTATCACAGTCATTTGGTTTCTTGCTTTATGGAAATGATCCTGTGTTTGGTAGTGTCAGAGATGAATCCCCTGACTATCACTTCCTTGTTTGATTTTCTTTCCTTGAGCATGGGCTGGAACTAAGGAATTACGTTTAAGAGGTACAGTATGGTGACCACAAGTAATATTACTAGATTGGATGTTTGAAGTCACTCAGAGTGCATCTTCCGTGCTCTCTCTTAGATGTATGAAGTGAGAGATGTATTAATTAGATTAATTAACTCATTTAACAGTGCATGTGTACATCAAAGATGCTGTGCATCATAAAAACATGCAACATTTAATTGTCAATTATACCCTTCAAAATCTGGGTATAATTGAGAAAAAAAGAATTAGCAAGATTAGGCTATGAACATACTGGCTTTTTTCTTCTCTCACTGGTTGAAGACACTTACAATGCTATGAGCTGCCCCGGAACATGTGACTGGGAACAGAGAATTGTCCAGTGAATAGTCGACAAACAACTAAGTCCTTCAGTATTGAGGAATATTATAAGGGCCACTCCACGTAGTTAAAAGGAAGATTTATTTAGTGGATGACTTACAAATGAAAGAATGGATAGGTCGCGGGGGTCTGGGGAAGGCGTCTAGCAATCCAGCGGTGTTCTCTGGAGCTCTGCACAATCAATCTCCACCATCCAGGGTCCAGGCGCAGAGAGAGCGCCCCGCGCGAGCGCTTGCCCATCCAGCTCTCAGGTTTCCAGCACCTCCCCTCGCCCCGCCTCGTAGGCGTGACAGTTGCCAGAGTCTCAATGGGGGTTGGAGCTTCCAGATCCAAGCTGGAATGACTACCCACTACACTTCAGTCCAACAGACAATGGAACACTGAACACTGCAGATAGCTACACAAGTGAGCAAGGTGAAGCCTACCAGCCGTCACTTCCCACCACTAAAATCAAGGTGTTGGCTGAACTTTCTGAAGGCTCTAGAAGAAAATCCATGTCCATGTCTCTTATTCAGCTTCTTGAAACTTCTTGAATTCTTTGGTTAACACCATCCTTCTTCCTTCAAGGGCAAGAATAGCTAGCTGAGTCTCTCTTATTGTGTAAATTTTTCACCCCCTCTCTGTCTCCTTTTACTAAAAAGCAATCTTGTGTTTATGTTTGGCCCACCTAGCTAGATGATCTAGGGGAAAAAATCTCTTCAAGCATCATTTAAGTAGCAGCCTTAATTTCATAGGCAACTTTAATTTTCCCTTTTTGTGTGCTATAGCATATTGACAGTTTCCGAAGTTTAGATTGGGACATCTTAAGTGTTCTCACCACAGTTGTTGACTATGTGATATGATGGATGTGCTAATTAGTTTAATTAAATCAGTTCACAATGCATACATATATCAAAACATCATGCTGCATTCCAGAAAAATAGAGAACTCCTATTTGTTAATTAAACATTTTGAAAGCTGATGTTAAGCTTGGTGTGGAGGTGCTTGACTTTAATCCCAGCACTAAGAGGTAGAGGCAGGAATATCTATATGAGTTCAAGGATAGCGTGGTTTACATAGAGAGTTCCAGGGCAGCCAGGGCTATTTAGTGAGTGTAGTTAGTTTTTTTTTTATGTTTTTTTTCACTCTTTACTCTTAGGGGGGGCTCGTCACCCAGCTCTCAAATAATGACACAGAGACTTTTTCTTTCTTATGAATACCCTGCCTTAGCTTGGCTTGTTTCTAGCCAGCTTTCGAACTATCCATCTATCTTTTGCCTCTGAGCTTTTACCTTTCTTTATTCCATATACTTTTCTTTACTTCTTACTCCATGGCTTGCTGTGTAGCTGGGTGGCTGGCCCCTGATGTCCTCCTCTCCTTCTCCTTTTCTTGCTCCCCAATCTTCTCTTCCCATATTTCTCCTCCAATGTATTCTCTCTGCCTGCCAACCCCACCTATCCTTTCTCCTGCCTCACTATGGGCCATTTACCTCTTTATTAGACCAATCAGGTGTTTCAGACAGAAAAAGCAACACAGCTTCATAGAGTTAAACAAATGCAACATAAAAAAATACAACACATCTTTGCATCATTAAACAAATGTTCCATAGCATAAATTAATGTAACACATCTTAAAATAATATTCCACAACAAGTGAGCCCCTACCTAAAAAAAAAAAAAAAAGAAAAAGAAAAAAAGAAAGGAAAAAAAAAAAAAAAAAACTGACATGTTTTTGTCTTGTTTTGTTTTGGTGGGAATGCTGGAAGGCGAGGCCTTTAGAAGTTAAGTATGTTTGCTATTACTGAGCTACACCCCAACCCCCACAATAGGAACTCTTTATCTAACATTATTTTAAGATGAAAAAGTAAATGGGTATGAATCATCAATTATAAACTATCATGGCTCTTGAAATAAATAAAGCTTTACATAATACATAAATGGAAAGGCCTTAAATTATTTTTTGAATATTCCAAAGTTGCAAATATCATGACATTTTGTTCAAAAATGCTGTGGCACATATTCTATTACCATAACACAGCTGAGAAATTTAACATTGGTAATTACTAATTTAGAGTCCCTCTTTGTCAGAATTCCCTTCCTATCTCAAGCATGTCCTTTACAGATAATCAAGTATCACTTATTGCATTTGACCATCATGTCATTTTACATTGTTTTAAACTCAAAGGCATGCTGCCCTTTTGCTGTTAATAGCACAGATTATCCCCTAGCCTTGAAAGCAAGCAGTCCATGATATATGTAAAACAATATCCTGGAAGCCACTGGAGGGGGTGGAATAGGTTTGGGATTCCTGCCCATGCCCTCTTCAGATAGTTCATTTGATATTTCCAGCAGCTCCTTGGAAAATATCTATTTACAGAGATTTTGTTTTGTACATTCATTTATTTAAGGGCATGCGGGGGTTGTTTACGCATGTGCACACACATGTGCAAGAGCACATGCACACATTCTACAACATGCACGTGACTGTCAACTTGAGATTGGTTGTAGAATGCAATGGTGGAGAATTAAGTTTGGGGAAAAATAACATATAGATACCTTGCTGCCCCAAAGAACTTACAGAAGAACTTTCAGTTGAAGACGAAAAAAAAATGCTTTTTTTTTCTGTTTGCTAATAATTTTAGATGGTGAATAATAAAAATATACAGCTCTCTCATGAACCTCCCAAAAATATAAACTTAAAAAACTTCCTTCACCCCATCTCTACCTTTTGAAAATAATCATGAGTAGAAGCAGATGCAGAATTCCACAGCCAAACACCAGGCTGAGTTCCAACAGTCCAGTCGAAGAGAGAGAAGAGGGATTCTATGAGCAAGGGGCATCAAGATCATGATGGGGAAACCTGCAGAGACAACCAAACCAAACTAGTGGAAACCAACATCTGTGGAGCCTCCATGGGACTGGACTAGGCCCCCTGCATAAGCAAGACAGTTGTGTAGCTTGATCTGCTTAAGGGCCCCCCTGGCAGTAGGATCAGGATCTATCCCTGGTGCATGAACAGGCTACCTATGGTGGTACACCTCGCACACAGCCTTGAAGCAGTGGGGAGGGGCTTGGACCTGCCTCTACTGAATGTACCACCAGGCTCTGCTGACCCCACATGGGAGGCCTTACCTTCTTATAAGAGGGAATGGGGAATAGTTTGGGAGGTGAGGCTGGAGGGGCTGGAGGAGGGAAGAGGGGTATCTATGATTGGTATGTAAAATGAATAAAAATATCTCCTAATAAAGAAAGGAAATAATCATGATTTATAGTTTAGTATATACCTGCCTAGAACATGTAAATATGTGATTTTTTTTTCAGTTGAATTAAGTGAGATCTTCGCACACAATACATATTGTGTTATTTTTACACTCAGGGTCTCCAACAGATGTAAATATTCATATATATTCTATACATAAAGTATGACATATATTTTAAAGTTAGATTGTATGCCATTTGTTGTTGGGACAACATTTATTTAAGTAGCCTTCTACTACTGAATATTTAGATTGTTTACAGCCATTTGTTATTACTATACTATAGTGAAGAGCCCTGTGTATTAGCTTTCTGCAATCCCCGCCTTCTGTGCCTCCCTTCATTCATCCCCCTTCTTGTTTTTTGATTTTTCAGTTCTGGTCATTGAACCCAGGGTTTCATACATGCTAAGCAAGTGCTCTACCACTGAGCCACACCCCTACCACCTTTTCTTGTATTTTAAGGTAGGATCTTGCTACATAGCTCAAGCCAGTCTCAAACTCATGATCCTCCTGCCTCAACTTCCTGAGTGGCTGGGTTTAAAGGCAGGCACCACGAAACCCAGTAAGATTTATTTCTCAAAGTGGATTGTCAGATCTATGTAATTTACACCTATAGGGTATATGTAATTTGAGTTGGGCTAAAACGAGACCTAGCTGTATTGTCCAGTTTCCTGCCTCTCCCACCTTGCACTTGTGTCTTTCACAGGATCATGCTGACATTGAGTGGAAGTTTGCAAGAACGAAGCTCTGGATGAGTTACTTTGATGAAGGTGGTACCTTGCCACCTCCTTTCAACATTATCCCCAGCCCCAAATCATTCCTCTATCTTGGCAACTGGTTCAACAACACCTTCTGTCCCAAAAGAGACCCCGATGGAAGACGAAGGAGGCACAACTTGAGAAGCTTCACAGTAAGACCCCCCCAAAAAAAATCTGTTTCTGTTTACACAAAACTGCTTTGCTCCTTTCCCTTCTTCATGATAGTTCCTATCTTAAACTCTGTAAAATCATTCCAACTAAATGCTCTTGTTATCTGTCAGTCAGAAGCCACTGTATCATTCTACATTCCTAATATTTACCAAATCCTTAGGGTGGGTGAATGGGTAGGGTGCTGGTCAACTGATGTAATCTCTCTGTCCATTTTGAATTACAGGAACGCCATGCTGATAGCCTGATACAAAATCAACATTATCAGGTACTGCTTACGCACTGGGGCTAAACACAATGGTTCTTGGCCAGTTCTTTGGAATAGAGAAGCACACTCTACTTTAGCTATGTCTGGACTTAACTTGGGTAGGAGCTCTGGAAAGACTGTAATCCACTCAAGACTGAAGTAATTGATCAGGGTGGAGTCACCTGCCCTATAACCCTGTTCATATCCTTTTAACACTACCTTGTCTGGATGTAAGTCTCCATACCTTAGAAAGCTATCTTCCTTGAAATTCAGTAGCAGACATGCAGTTGCTCAGTCAACAAGTAAACAAGTGCCTATTGCACACCAGGCACTAAGATACACATTAGAGAAATCATTATGGAAAAGCAAGACATAATGTTTGTACACCTTAGAAGCTTATTATCTCTCAGGGATGGAAGATATTACATCATTAAAACTAATAAAATTAACTGGTTAGAGGGTAAAAACTTGCTTTAAAAAAAGCACATACAGCAATGGGAATACATAATAAATAGCAAATACAGAATAAGAGGAAGTCATCAGTAAATTCAGTGAAGAAAAATCTTATATCAGAACACAGGTCTCTAAATTAAGAACATGACTTTAATCCAAGGAGCAGATATTTGCTTCTTATGGGACCAGCCAGAAGACAGCCAAACACAAAAATATGTGAGATATTAACTGAAAGTAACCATTGAAAATCACAGATAAGAGACTATATTTAAGCTTCTAGATCAAAATCAATGCAGAGTAGGGGATGGATCTCAGTTGGTAGAGTGCTCAAAACTATACATGAAGTTCTGGGTATGATCCCCAACACCACATAAACTGAATGCAATGGAGGCCAGAGTTCAAGGTTATCCTCAACTATGTAACAAAGTCAAAGGGCAGCTTGGGTTACACAATACTTAGTCTAAAGAAACCCAAACAGAAAAATATTCTACAGGGTTGAAAGGAAAGGAAACTCAACCTTATTCCACAAATGGCTTCTTTAATTTTGTTCCTCTTAGGTGTAAATAACAAAGAGGAACACAACATACAGTATTTCATGTTCTCAATGACCCTTCCCTCACTATGCCTACCTCCAACTCTAGTAATTTTAGAAAATGGTGAAACCTAGGCAAGATTCATCATCTTTATCTTCTGCTTCAAACATCCTAACAAAAGGAAAAGGCAGTCCCTGAGCTTCTCAGTGACTGATAGAAGAAGTTCATCGAGTGGCAAAAGTAGTAGCTACAACATTGCTGTTACGATAGGCTTTGGAATCAGCTTGAAGGAGAACTGAAATCTAATTAATGTTCACATTTCCTGGCAGTGTGACCCTGAAGAAGCCAGTTAACAACACGAAGCCTCACCTTCTTCGTGTGTAAACTAGGAAGAATAGTAAAAGTCCCATTGCAGTGTAGTGAAAATTCAGTGGGGATGGTGCCCAGCACACTGCCTGACACATTGCAGTAAGTGGCGGTGATTATCAACACCAACCTTGCAACCATTCGTGTTTCATCAGTCCTGAGGCTAATAGAGGCATTCCCTCTAGAGGTGAAGCGTAGATTGAGTTTATGAAAAATGTCTGGATCACAAAATTAGAGCTCGTGATGGGTGGTGATGGTGCACACCTTTAATCCTGGCAGTTGGGAGGCAAAGGCAGGCGGATCTCTGTGAGTTCCAGGCCAGCCTGGTCTACAGAAAGAGTTGCAGGACAGCCAGGGCTACACAGAGAAACCCTGTCTCGAAAAACAAAACAAACCAAAAAAATTCCTAGCTCATTTAGTGACTGTCAACTTCATAAAGAGAAAAATCCTTTATTTCACTAAAAGTACTAAAGTTTAATCCATCCCCAAGGAATGGATATTGAATATGAGCATTCAAGGGCTATTGTACTCTCATCAGACACACACACACACACACACACACACACACACACACACACAGAATACATGCTTACCTTATGCTTCAATAGAAATTCTTCCTTTGGGGTAAATTTAATGGCATACTCTGCCACCAAAATTCAGAGATGCAATGACTTATTAACCCAATGAACTTTAATTTTTTTGGCAGCAAACTGCTAGATACTGTGAGGATTTCCTATTGCAAAGATAATTTAAGTGAGTTTTCTGAGTAAGTTCCTTATTTACCTGATAGTCTGAAAAGGAAACTGAATACCTTTCATGGTTTTTCAATTCCAGGAAGTTATCAGAAATTTAGTCAAGAGATATGTGGCTGCAATGATAAGAAACTCTAAAACAAATGAGGGGCTAACAGAAGAAAATTTTAAGGTAATTTAATCATGAAAAGCAGATAAATCAATATCTCTCTCTCTCTCTCTCTCTCTCTCTCTCTCTCTCTCTCCCTCCCTCCCTCCCTCCCTCCCTCCCTCTCCCTCTCCTTCTCCCTCTCTCTGTGTTTTCCCCTGTCCAAAGAACCTACATTCAAGCTCTAATTTCTTGGTATAATTTAATCTTCATAGAGTCTGAGAATCCTGATTATGGAATTCCACCTTCCTATATTGCAGAAAAAAAATGAATTACAATTCTTTCTTATTCTTTAAAAAAATATTCTTTATAAAGTTTTTTTAAAAAAAAAATTGAGTTTATCTTTTTTTTTAAGATTTATTATATATACAGTGATCTTCCTGTATGTATGCCTGCATGCCAGAAGAGGGCACCAGATCACATTACAGATGGCTGTGAGCCACCACGTGGTTGCTGGGAATTGAACTCAAGATCTCTGGAAGAGCAGCCAATGCTCTTAACCTCTGAGCCATCTCTCCAGCCCCTATCTTTCTTTTGTGTGTATGGGTGTTTTGCCTGCACGTTTGTTGCCTGCAGGTGTCAGATCCTCCTGGGAGTGGACTTACAGGTGGTTGTGATCCAACGTGTCGGTAGTGGGAACTGAACCCAGGCCCTCTGGAAAAGCACAGTTCTATTAACCACAAAGTCATCTCTCTAGCCCCTGCAACTCTTATTCTGTCTTAGAATTATCTGTCATCCAGTAGGTGGAGAGAATTTTTTTTTCCTTTTCTAAAAAAATAATGCTTGTAATTGAAATAGAAAATGACTTTCTTCCTTCCTCCTACTGCTCCAGCTACACTCCCTCATATCTCTCCCATATCTCCCAACTCTCAAGTTAATAACTTCTTTTTCTTTGATTTTGTATTGTCTCATACCTGTGTGTGTGTGTGCGCGCGCGCGCGTGCAAATATATAAAAATACAACTTTTTGAGTTTTTGTTCTTTGCATTTGTTTACATGGTTTCAGGGCTGACTACTTTGCACTGGACAACCAATTGGGGGACTTCTCCCTGGGAAACCTTTCCTCTCCTCCCAGCAGTTACTATTGCCTGTATATAATTCTTTGTGTCGGGTTGGGGCCCCAAGGAAACTTTGTGTTGAGAGGTTCTGATCAATGTCTGTCACAATCAGTCTTATGACCAAAATGAACCCATCCTGCATATCATTTCCTTTGATATTACCAGTGTGAGAATAGCATGTTTAACTGATGTAGCATCAATGCATGGGAAGGGGTAAGGCAGCAAACTGAAAATGCCTGAAGACCTACCTTAAAGGCCTTCTTTAAAAGATGGACAATAAAGTCCCAAATATATATTATTAAATTTCAAGTCTAAAGAAACTACAGTTAAATAGTAGAATTTTTCCACTGTTGGTATCAGCCTAAAAGAGTGATTCTCACACAGCGGCATTTATATACTTAGGGCACATTTGGCTGTCTGGAAATGTTTTAAGTTATCATACTGGCATCTAGTGGGTACAAAGAGCATTGCTACTAACCATCTCACAATTACCAAGACAGCTTTCCGTTATAAAAAACTATCCTGCTTGACATATCAGTAGAGCCTAGAAGAAGAACCCCTATCCCAGGATGCATGACCATGCACAGACACACAATAAATAACACACCCCTATAAGGCACACAGGAATTCTACTATCTTAATCCACAGATGGAACTTATTTGTTGAGGACCAATGTCCCAGTCACTTTGCTAAGTTATTATTGTGTATCAGTTCATGAGTACAGGGAGCATCTGGGGGCTGAGAGTGTTGGCAGAAAGGAAAAAGGAGATGGAGAGGTAGTAGGTACAGAAAAGCCCTGTAGTCCATGACATGGCATTTATAGTGTTTCCTAAGACAGAGACATTACTAAGACATTTTAAGCAGGACAATGACATGATCAGATTTAAGCTTTGAAAACTTGTAAAGGAACAAGTGAATGGTATCCAAGCAGCTGGAGAGAAGGCAAGTCATATATACTTGAATGACCCCATGCCCCATCCGAAAGCAGCAGTCTGATACATCACCTGATACTTCATTTCTTCCATTTCCTTCCTGGGTCCTAAAGGTCTTGTCTTCTTCAGTTGTCCTTTTATTTATAGACACTCATGACAGCCGGTACTACAACCAAATAGGTTGTCAGCTACCACTTCATTTTTAACATTTTGTGCTGGGGGGGGGAGTGTTTTACCTACATGTATATTTGCCTGCATACATGTATGTGCACCATGTGTGTGCCTGGTGCAGGTAAAAGCCAGAAGAGGGTGTCAGATCCCCTGGAACTGGAGTTACAGATGGTTGTGAGATGCCACGTGGGTGCTGGGAATTGAACCCAGGTCATCTGGGAGAGGAGCCATTGTTCCTAACTCCTAAGCCATTTCTCCAGCCCAGTTTTTACTTAGAGATTAGTTTCTTATGTTCCTGATCCACAGGTTCTGAAGTCAAGCTTACCACTGCAGTTGTTCCATTGGTCACAGAACAGTCTTTCTGTGCTTGAACTAATGAAAGATTTTTAAAGTACAATGTGTGCTTCATGATTTATTACTATGCAAAACTTAGCCTATCCAAAATTCCAAATGTCTTCTTTAAACTAAAGACCATTTTTCTGACAAAACATGTCTCCTTTCTTCCTCTAGGAATTAAAGCAGGACATCTCCAGCTTTCGATATGAAGTGCTTGACCTCTTGGGAAACAGAAAACATCCAAGAAGAAGCTTTTCCACTAGCAGCGCTGAATTCTCTCAAAGAGATGATACCAATGATGGCAGTGGTGGGGCTCGGGCCAAATCTAAGAGTGTCTCTTTCAATTTAGGCTGCAAGAAAAAGGCCTGCCACGGGGCACCTCTCATCAGAACCATGCCAAGAGCCAGTGATGCTCAAGGAAAGTCAAAAGCTGAGTCATCAAGCAAACGGTCCTTCATGGGTCCCTCTCTCAAGAAACTGGGTCTCCTGTTCTCCAAGTTTAACGGTCAGACCTCTGAACCTACTCCAGAGCCCATGTACACAATCTCCGATGGGATCGCACAGCAGCATTATATGTGGCAGGACATCAGATATTCGCAGATGGAGAAAGGGAAGGCAGAGGCCTGTTCTCAAAGTGAAATGAACCTCAGTGAGGTAGAGTTAGGTGAAATCCGGGGTGCTGCTCGGAGCAGTGAATGCCCCCTAGCCTGTTCCAGCTCTCTTCACTGTGCATCCGGCATTTGCTCCTCAAATTCTAAACTTTTAGACTCATCAGAGGATGTATTTGAAACTTGGGGAGAGGCTTGCGACTTGCTCATGCACAAATGGGGTGATGGACAGGAAGAACAAGTTACAACTCGGCTCTAAGTCAAATCCCCACCAGCTATTCTGGAATTCAAGAGAAAATTTGTAATGTCCTCATTCTCAGAGGTGACCCCAAATATGGTTCCCTCACGGTTCCCCCCTCCAAGGAGTGAAACTCCTATTGTTTTCAGTCTTTTATAGCCACATTCCTCATGCTTTGTTTTATTGTTATTATAATTTGCCTTTTGATATCTCGAAATACTTCAATCCATCTCGAAAGCAACTGAAGGGGCATTGCCCCTAGTCAGCAGAGGTGCAGTCGGGTGCTTAACCCCTTTGCTTTGCTGTTCTTACCCTTGCCTCGCTGACGCTCCGGGTGCCACTTTGCTACCATAGCTGCCGCCCAGATTCCTGACTTCCCTCGGGATCTCACACCCATCTCCCCACAGAGCTGAGGGAGATGGTCAGCAGTCCCTACCAGCTACCAGATAAGGCAAATCAACCTGCCTGTCTTTGTTGCTCTTCAGTGCTACACGCTGCCCATGCTGGTTCAATGAACAGCATGAACGGGAGACTAGACTCCAAAGAATTGGCAGCTTGTGGTTTCTAGGTAGAACTAGCCTTTCTGTTTTGTTTTAAAACACCATAACTTCTAATTGTAGGGACTGTTGAGGTTTCGTTTCTTAAAGATGTGTTAGTTTCTTAACGTGTGCCAATGAGATATTTACTCTACAGTGCGTGTCATATATATAATAAGTTAGCTGATTTCCTTTCCTGTGTTTGTATATTTCAGTTAACTTATATATTTTAAATTTTGAGACTATCAAAATTAGTATTTAGGATGTGTACTTTTTTCCAAAACATCTTCTACTGCACTTTAACCAATAGTTACTACATCTCATATATTGGCAAGAAAAAATATAACTAGCTGGCATATTTATAGAGTCCTATCTACTGTGGCTAGTTTTAATCATCATTGATATAAAGGCATTTCTAAGCCTAAAGACTGGATTTGAAATATTTTTTATGAGAAAAATGACATTTTACTGAGGTATTTAAATTTAGGGGGAAAAGAGCACCTTAATTTAATTAATTGCTTTCTGGAAAGAAAACCTAGCAGACACAATTTTAGGTTCAGATAACCTAATTCAGGTTGCAGCTGTAATATCCACTGGGAGACGGGAAACTGCATGTGTGAACTGTTAGATATATAATGTAATAATCCTAGTGGATTCGTAGAGCTAAATTCTGCCTTCAAAGAAAGCTGCATATTTGCATTCAAACTCTTTCCCATAGCCCAGGAGTACTTAATCAGAACACAAGTTAAAAACAAAGTTAGGATGCATATGGTAATCATTTTAGGACTGACAACCACCAAACAATAGCCTGCTGGGCAAGCATAGTTTTACCAACATATGCTTGGCTTGTGGAGATTAACAATTTATATGGCAGAAAAGTAAAAAAGTTCGTTGGGCATCACCTGTTCTTTTTAAGTGTCAGCAGCAACAAGAATCCATCTACATTCTTGTGTGCAGTATGCTGGACGTGAAAGGAATTGTTCAACAATGTAAATGTGTCTGTAAACTTGCTTTTGACAGTGTAGTTTATGTTAAACTGACTTTCCATCTCTATCCCTAGCATTGGTAAATGACGGTAAAAGTGTTTCATGTGAAAAGGAGCCAAATTAGGGGCAAGGGAGGCAGGAAGTAGTGCTGAACACAACTCCGACACACGGAAAAGGGAACAACGAGAGTAAGATGAATCAACACGAATTTGGCAAGGGTTTGTTCCAAAATAATCTTAGTCTTATCTGAAGTGCTCATTTGGTCAAATCCAACTGCTGCCCTACTGAGGGACCATCACAAATACCTATGACACTGGGACAGATTCCTTTCTAAAAGGAAGAGTTCTAAAGTCACAATTTCAACTTTCCCAACTGTAAAACTTATTCTTAATAATAAATCAACCTCGACTACAACCCTAACTCACACCACCACCAACAAAGCCAACATATAACCATATAGTCAAAACATCTTTCTCACCAATATACAGACTATTAATAATCTAGGTGTAACTGTTGTAATGATCAGAAAACAGTAGGAAGGCATGAAGTCGTGGTCCAAAGCAGTCTTATCTCAGTAACATTCTGAAGAGAGAGGAAAGATATTACACCAGCCATTCTCTGCAACTGAAAGACAGCAGTGCCGTATTTCTTGGGAACACATTCCATACCAGATCTCCTTTGTGACTTGGGCTTTAGATTTCACTAGCTATGTTGATGCCTCATTTAGGATAAATGTTGAAACTAAACAGCGATTGTCCTAAGTTCCATGTTGGTGATAGCAACATTTTTATTAACTCTAAGATAATGCCAAGCAAAAAAGTGAAAGACATCTTTCTACCCAGCCACTGTTTACAAACATTTCAGGGATGGAGAACTTCCCTGACAGTCAGCCCTGAATTCTGTTCCTGGTACAATTTTAAAAGGGTGGAGGGTTGGAAAGATGGCTCAGTGCTTAAAAGCACTCACTCTAACAGATGACCCAGTTTCTATTCCCAGCACCCACAGGGCAGCTCAATCTGTCTGTAACTCCAGTTCCAGGGCATCTAATGCCCTCTTCCAGATTCCCCAGGCACCAAGCACACATGTAATACACAGACATATATGTAGGCAAAACATTTACACACATAAAATAAAAGTGAATAAGTCTTTTTTTAAAGGGACAGGATTTGAAATAAAAATTCTTAAGCATGTCTTTTCACTGCTGAGAATGTACAAAGGTAACTTGAGAGTAAATTTGTAAGCCAGAGAGAGAGAGAACTGTAGAGAGGATCAACTGGATTCCAACCTCATATTTAAAGTTTTTTTTAAAAAGGTGGCACCATGGTATCCAGAGAAGGGCACCAAGCTGGTCAATAAACACAAAATTTCTGGATTATAGAAACATTACCTAGCATATATGTTATATATAGATGTTCAAATAAAATGCCCTCTATACAGGTGCCCATTGTTTTCATTTGTCTAAAATACTGTGAACTCCAAAACTGCACTTAAATGTAAATTTAAAATGTACTGTAGCTGCAAAGTAAAAATAACTATAAATACAAGAACCACTTGTTAATAATACAACACCATGACTTACTTTCATTACAGTCAACTTTCTTATAACTTCTAGGTACCTTGGGTCCATTTGTTTGATACAATGATTAAAGTCTTCTTAATATTAAGGTAAACATACAAAAAAGTCTGAATTATATCAGAAATTATATCATTGTTAAAGTACCTCTTCCACTTTTAAGCCCAGTGGAGTGCAAAAAAGGGGAAGATTCTAAACTCAAAATCATTGATAAATCTGAGGCCAGCCTGGACTATATAGTAAGACCTTATATCAGAAACACACACACACACACACACACACACAAAATTTCTTTTAAGTTCTTTTTACTCTTCTGGCTTACTTGCTCCAAATATCTAATCATTGGCATAGAACTGAGTTTCTCAGTTCAGTGTGAACCTTACTTTAGAAAAGAGGAACAGTGTATGATTTCAATGCCCTTTTCCAAACAGATGTGGTTTTTGGTTTGTTTGGCTTTATTGGAAAATGTCTGAAAAGGTGAAAACTTTATCTGTGTATGTGCAAATACACACCTGGAAGCTTAAAATGGCATTTGAGCCTCTGACCTTGCTTTATCCCATTTGGGAATAGTGAATGGTGAGGGAGCAGGAATAACTACTTTTCCATGAAGAGATTTCCTGGGATGTGGTAAAGAATTGCTAAATGAACAAGCCACAACGCATCCTCTGTAGAACAACTGTTAAAGCGAGAACTACCAGATTTAGTTTTTCTGATTTTGAGAAGGGAAGACACTTAGACCAGAAAAAGGTAACCTGAGAAATATACACACTTTTGGGAAAAGAACATGCATGGATTTTACTGCAGTCACATTACAATTCATAATGCTGTCATGTAAGCTAAGTTCCCCAGTATGCTATTTGGTGGTTCACAGAAGGTGCTTGTAAGTGGCCTTGAAGCTTTACTTTCTAAAAATGGGGTGTTGGAATGATGCAGGAAACAAACTAAGAGGTTATGTCATCTTCAAGCTCAGAATTGCTTTCTTTTTAAGTTTATTGATCTGAACTCGGCTTCTTTTCTGAAATATTAGTATCAGTGATTGTGGTACTTGAGAAACATATACACATTCAAAACTATAGTATTTAAACACCAACTTAGTAGAATGCCCTATGCCAGCCCAAAGCTACTTTTTGTTGCAATTTTTTTAATCTGTCGGGAAAAGTTGTAAAAGCTCTATGGAAGATTCCTGTGACTACACAAATAAATAGCAGACAATTTCTGTAGTAAGAGAAAAAGTTCACTACTTTTCATTATTAGTGGTATATATTCATTACATAAAATCATGGGTTTCACTTTGACTTTTTCTACATTTGTGCCATGTATTTTGCTCACATTTCCCTCTCTTGTCCCTCTCCTTCCTTTTCTCTCCCCAAAATAGTCTTTCTACTTCAATTCATGGATGTGTTTTAAATATAGATTCCACATATGAAAGTAAACATGTGCTACTTACCTGTGTGAGCCAGGCTTATTTTGCTTAACATGTTGATCTCCTCCAGTTCCATGCATTTCCCTGCCAATGATGTTAATTTCATTCTTCATGGATGAGTAAACCTCCACTGTGCATACCATATTTATTCACCTGGTGACAGTCGACTACTTTGGATCCCTGTAATCAACTTCTACACATATCCTCTTCTGACACCTCTAAAAAAAAACCCTTCCTTACAACTCTAAATCTCTTAATAGAAGCAAAAAGAACTCAATTAGTAAGTAAAAGCTGCCTATGGTGAAGGTCAATAGTCACCCATTTGCAGCAGACTTGAGTGGGTTTCAGAATAGGAATTCTACCCTCACTGCCTCATTTCATGCAGGTATGCACACATACATATCACAAACATAGATGACATTGTTCTCATTGGTTCTTGAAAGAATAGAGGAAAGTGTGCCTTTTGGCAAGCAGATTAAGGTGGGCTGGGAATTTTATGTCTTTTCCAATGAACTTCAATATATTCCTAACTGCCTTCTAATCTAAAAGACCTCTAGACAATTTTTTAGTGCCACAGAACTCTTAGAAGAGACCCTAGAAAAAGAAAGCAGAAAGGGCACTTGAGATTTTAATGAGGGTTCTTAAAAGTGATAGCAAGCTTTCAAAGGAGAGACAAGTGTTACTAACCACTACAAATAGAAATAATCAAATTGTTGAACTCTTAGGATGATAAAATTGAGATAAATTGTTTGATTAAAAATGTTTCTGGGGCTGGAGAGAGCGCTATATTGGTTAAGAGCACTTGCTCATCTTCCAGAACACCAGAGTTCAGTTCCCATCAAGCATATCAGGAAGCTTACAACAGCTTGCAACTACAGCTCCAAAGGATCCCAGTCCTCCTCTGGCTTCTGTGTGTGTGTAGTGTAGTTTCTTATGGCTGGGTGAGTGGTTAATAAGAGCCCTCACCTAACATAAGCAAGATCCTAGGTTTGATCCCCCAAAAGATCATTTTACATCAACCTTTTCTCCAACAAAATCTAGAAATGCAACTTATGTGAGAAAACTAGCTCTAAAAATCTCTTTTCAAGTTTTGGATATTAGAGCTGAATTTCAAAAAGCAGTAGTTTCTCATGTAGCATCACTGTATTAATAAAGTCATCAGGCAAGATCCATATTAAAATTATTATTTTAAATTGTGCAGTGTCACAGATTGCCTTTCCAAATATGGAGGAGGACTGTTCTAAATTTTACCTAAGAAATGAGTCTGCTACAACTTTATGAAAGAGAAGAGCTAAACTAGGGGATGGTACATATGGAAAGAAAACCAGATTACACATGTCATATTTAGTCCCATAAATTTAGTTTTAAGTATATAACCTATGATTACAAATGAGTTCTATAAATTTGCCAGAACTTACACATCAAAATGAATGACATCCATCAAGCAAATCATCTTAAATATCTGCACCTGCTGCGTGGTAGGGCACATACCTTTAATCCCAGCGAGGCCTGACTGATATATACAGCGAGTTCAAGGACAGCTAGAGCTACACGGAGAAACTGTGTCATGAGGAAAATAAAAAGAAAAAGAAAAGAACCTACACTACACCCATATTCTAATGATGCCACCACTAGTTACCATATTTTAGACCTCTACTTTGTAAGTCTTTCAACACCTACAATACACTCTATGAATAACCTAATAAAACAAAATCATGATTCTACAAGATTTGAATTTTTAGAAATATTCAAAAATAAGTTGTGGTTCAAAAATGGTCAAATGAAGGGTAACTTAGTTTTTTTTAAAAAAGGTAAACATCTTCAAGCACTGAACAACAGGCACATTCGTGAGTTTTCAGTGTGTACATGCCTAGAACCCCTTAGTCAAAACGTATCCTATTACTTTCCAAAGATACCTTATTTCCCTTTGCAACTTAAAATCAACTTTCAACATTCTTGCGAGTAGTGGCAGCTTTACAAAAATAAATATAGTGCCTCCTAAGAAAAATAAAGGACAAGATACTTAAGTAGAGAACCTCCACAGATTATGGAACAATCAAGATTTAACCCCTGAAATCCTGGTGTTTAAACAAGGTACATGAAGAGTTCCTGTGGCCTAAGATGTAAACAAACTGACAACTGTCTTTCTACATCTTAGGTGATCCAAAAGAAACATTTTATCATGTACAGGTTTTGGCAAGTGGGTTGTTAGCAAGGAGTAACTGGAAAAACAAAAACCCCTGAAGATTCTACAGAATAATGGGAGCCTTTTGGACTAAACATTCATAGTGGCGGATATAGTGAGATGAGGCTCAAATAGAAAGACGAAAGCAGCTAGCTCAGGTCATCTGAAAATCTAATGTCCAATGTAGATGTTTCCATAGGAGATCTAATCATTTTATTTAAAATACAGCTTCAGCAACAGCACTATACTTCAACAACCAAGGCAGTTGCCTGTAGTCCAACAAGTGACAACTGTACCCGGCAATATTTAGGAAGGAGAGGCAGTCAGAATTCAAGAGTTTTTCTAGAACCAATGGCACTAAAATCAACGTCAGTGTGGGTTCACAAGGAGAGTTCCAAACCCAAGCCATCAACCACATTAGTTAGGGAATATAATTTCATAAAGTACTAACTTTAGAAATAACTATTTGAATTCTCCCTTTAAATACAATATGGCATGTTCTCGTTTCAATTGCACAACAGTAACAGACCTTGTCCAGATCATTCAGTTCAGATAAGACTAAGTACAGCCTTTCCAAGGGAAAATACATGAAGTTGATTTCTTCTCATGTGCATACTAGAGATACTATTCAAGAAGAGAGAAATATTTTAACTGCTTACAGATTCCATTTCTTCAACGTTTTACAAAATGGGGATAGGGAATTTCTTCCTAGTCAAAACAGTGAATGCGTTTGGAGCTATAGACTTAACAATTGATAGCAGAAGACAGAGCAACTAGAAAACAGACGCTTTGCTTAAATTTTCTCAGCCTAGTCAGTGGTCCCTCACACATCATACAGAAAATGTTTGTATCAAAATTAGTTATATCTCCTGAGTTTAATTTATGAAAGGGAAAATTTCAGTGTTTGTGTAAATGGCACTTTGGCTCTGCATATTACTTTAAAAGCTAAAACCTCTGAGTAATTACTTTTATTTAGATATTTTCTGTAAGAAGTACAAAGTTATTGTCAACCTGAAATGTGTGAAAAACAATCTTGTATAATAATTTTGTGTGTTTTTAGCTTCAGTATAAAGAAAAATAAAGCATTTATTTCCCCTCCCACAAAATGTATGGCTACTTAGAAATAAAGATGTTTTGTTCCTTTTCCAATGTAACCATTTATACCTATTAATAAATGTTGATGGACAGCTTTGGGTTTCACACTATAATTTAACCAGTAGAAATACTAACAGGAGACTACTGTAGTCCAAAATATTTTGAAAAGTATGACTGAGAATCAATATCATTTAAATTTTATAGTTCTTATGTAAAAAGCCATTATTATTAAGTGCTGAAACAATAAAACCTAAAATGGTTCATTCACCTCAATCAATTTCAACTACAAATTTTGACTATGTACTTCACAAAAGTAATTTTATACAGAGCTAGTGAATATTCTTGAGAAGTATAAAATTTTAGGTACTTAATTAACTATTGATAGGCTTCCCCAACCTCCTAGATGTCTTGGCAAGATCTGTCTGGACCTTATGATAACTACTCTAAAATCTTATTTTAGAATAGTTTATTAAGATAAGTTTATTAAGGTACACAATATTTTGGGGAACACAATACCACACTTCCTCTTTTTGTCTAAAATTAAAGAAAGCTTGTAACTAATACAAGAAAAACTATCTAATAAGTATATATAATATATACAGCCAAAAATTACATTAATGATGTCTAGTCCACTTAGTTATTTTCAATATTTAAACCTTTTTCATTGAAAAAACCTTTTCATACATATATTTTGATCATGTTTCCCTCTATCCTGATTCCTCCTATATCCTTCCTAGTACCCTATCTACCAACTTTGTTCTTTCTCTCTGTAAACCACATAAGACAACAAAAATAGAAACATTAAAACCCTGAACTCTTACTGGCTTCAGAAACAAACACCTTCTCCAGTTACCAAGACATTTTCTTTTATTATGAATTTTTTTTCTAGCACAAGGTAAAATTAGAAAATAGCATATAGTCGACCTAAGCTTTAAGGATTAATCACTCCAAAATAGTTTAAGCGAACAGTAGTTACCTAAACTTGAGTGGATCTTTTCCTGAAACTACATTTTCCACATGTTCCTGACAAGTCCTATAAGGAAAACTCTTTGATGGTTCAGCTAAGACATGTATTCTAAATCAATATCGAAATTCATTATTCTATAAGATGGAGGGGGTGGGAACTAGATTTGTCTTTTGCTACAGTAGTTCTCTTACATTCTTAAACTTTTATTGTAAGAGTTAATATAAAATGCTTTAAAATGTATCATGTACAATGGACTACATCTGTCCCACATTTAGAAAAGCCTAGATTCAGATTAAGCTCTACCACCCTCCCAAACAGACCATTTTGCTATTCATGTAGATTTACATCTGAATTAAGTTTTGAAAGTCTAGTATTCACATTAAAATGATTTGTTTTGTTTACATTTTATTTCCAAAGATAATTAAATGGTTATGCCTTGATTATAGACTCCAAGGAAATGAAACATGCTTTAAATTCACAAGTCTTAAATTTCAACAGTAAAATAATATTAAATTCACAAGTCTTAAATTTCAACAGTAAAATAGACTCAATATTTTTATCTGCTCTTAATTAAGGCAGAGAGCCACAATTAGTTTTGAGAATATACACAACTTAAAATGAATTCTTTTTCTTGCTAATGGAAATTACTTCAATTTCTACCTTTAGTATACCAGATTTTATCAGGAAAGGAATCCAAACCAATCACAGAACCATTTTATCTCCTCCCAATAATTCAAAATGGCTCCTTGCTTTAATAATAGAGAGAGGATTGGCTTTTGTAATGTCAAGGACAACTAAAGAGGTAAAAGGTAAAAAGGCTGGGGAAAGCTCCAGCAGCAAAGTGCTGGCCAGAGAAGCTTGAGGATCTGACTTGGATTCTTAAGCACCCATGTAAAGAGCCAGACATGGTTGTGTGTACATTTCTATTTCCTGGAAGGTGGAGACAGTTGGATCCCTGGGGCTTGCTAGCCAGCCAGCCAGCCTAGCCTAATTGTTGAGTCCCAGGTCCCAAAGACTGTCTCAAAAGAAAACAAGGTGATTGCTTCCGAAGCCTACTACTAGAAGTTGTACTCTGAGCCTGCATATGCATGCACAGCCATGAATAAATGAATGAATGAATATATATATATATATATATATATATATATATATATATATATATATATATTAACCCACTAAAAAGGCAGCCTTGCCAGTGTTTCTGCTGTTGTCTTGGAATTTTTTAATTAACAAGTTACTTGCTTCCTTTCTGGTAGTTATCCTTCAATATTTACTCCAGACTTGGCAAAATACAGATTACTCTAACCATACTGCACCCATAACAAGAAAAAAAACTGACTAGAATATGTAAGCAATGTGGCTTAAAGTAAACAACTTTAAATTTTCAAGGCAATTATCAAATTACGCTGCATCAACTGGTAATGGAATTTAAGGCAAGGCAACAACTTAAAGTTTGAAATAAAAGCATACAGTACTCACTTATAGAAGGATACTAGATGAAAAACAAAGGATGACTAGACTGCTACTCACAACTCCAGGGAGGCTAGCTAGAAAACAGAACCCCAAGGAAGACACAGGGATTGCCCAATGACAGAGAAATGGATGAGATCTACATGAGCAAACTGGACGTGAGGTGGGGTAATGAAGGGCAAGGGTCGAGGGAAAGAGAGCTTAGGGGAGTGGGAGATCCCAGCTGGATCAAGAACAGAGAGGGAGAACAAGGAAAGAGAGACCATGATAAATGAAGACCCCATGGGAATAGGAAGAAGCAAAATGCTAGAGAGGTCCCCAAAAATCCACAAAGATACCTCCACAATAGACTACTGGCAATGGTCGAGAGAAAGCCCGAACTGACCTACCCTGGTGATAGAGAATGGTCAAATACCCTAACTGTCGTGCTAGAAATTCTCATCCAATGACTGATGGAAGCAGATGTAGAGATCCACGGCCAGGCCCCAGGTGGAGCTCCAGGAATCCATTTGGCGAGAAAGAGGAGGAATTGTATGAGTGAGAATTGTTGAGACCAAGATTGGAAAAAGCACAGGGACAAATAGCCAAACCAGTGGAAACACATGAACTATGAACAGAGATCCAGAAGCCAAAACAGGAAGATTGGTACATTTAGGGACTTCACCAGGACTAGGAACTATGATGGATTAGGTCTTTGATCTCATTTTGGCACGTGTTGGGTTCCATGTGCTAGGCTTAGGTCATAATGGTGCATTGGTGCCTCTAACATGGCATCAGTTGTGCTAAGGTCTGGGTGCCTGTTACGTATTAAGTATCTGAGAATAAAAAAGTGAGTAATTTCTCACCCAGTCACTCAAAGATGCAGGGACCAGTCCTGACCAGTAAAGTGTTTTTTTTTTTTTTTTTTTTTTTTTGGTTTTTCAAGACAGAGTTTCTCTGTGTAGCTTTGCGCCTTTCCTGGATCTCACTCTGTAGACCAGGCTGGCCTCGAACTCACAGAGATCCGCCTGCCTCCGCCTCCCGAGTGCTGGGATTAAAGGCGTGCGCCACCAACGCCCGGCTCCAGTAAAGTGTTTTTAAAATACAATTCCACAGAAAAGGATACCAGCATAGAGCAAAGGCAAAAGTGGATGGTGTAGTAATTTGGCCTAAGACAGTGGTTTTTAAAATCAGCAATTGTGAGAAATGCTGGCCCCTTTTTCCATAGGCTGCTACTCTAGTCCAGAGTGGCAACCTTTGTACTCTTCTAGCATAATCCTCTTCCCACATTCCCCATCCTATTGTTTAAGCAAAGCTTTATCTAATGAATATCCTGGGGCTTGAGACTGCCCCCTTTTCTGATTGGAGGCTTGGACACATAGAGGAAGACCATCTGCAATCTTCCAGGTCTCAAGAGTTCCCAGACAAGCAGGTGCCAGTTGCCAGCAAGGGGGAAGAGGAGTCTAACGCCTTCTGCTTATCTGTAAGTCTATAATGAGCCCTAAGCGCACCTCACATTGAAAATTGGCCAGAGTGATTTATTTCTTATTTATTTCTTACAGAAACTAAATCAAAAACCCCAACTACTACTGGGTCCATTTGGAACTCTCATTATTTCAATCATCCTGAGAAGAGGCCACTTAGGGCAAGGTATTTTCTTTGTAATGGATCCCATTCTAGCACAGCTCAAGCACCTCACATCTTAATGTCTCAAATGTTTTGCTGTTTTAATTTGGTTTGGGTATGGGATGATTAAGACTTATTCAGAAGCAAAATTAACCTTAAAAACAAGATGTTATTTGGAGCCAATGAATTGACTCTGGTCCAAACACTTGCTGCCAAATTTGTCCCCATGAGTTCAAACCCAGGAACTCACAGATTAGAAGAAAAGAACTAACTCCCACAAGTTATCCTCTAACCTACACATGTCTATAGCAACAACTGCAAGCACAACACTCACCCAACACACACACACACTGAGTAAGCATAATTTAAAGAAAATTTAAAAATTAAAAGGAGATAGTATTTGTAAGTAAGTTCTGTAGTATCCGAAGGATTTTTTGTTGTTGTTGTTGTTGTTGTTGTTGCCATTTATCTGGTGAACAAAGTACTTGGAACAATTTAAGTCCCAGGTCAATAGGAAACTAGTTTGGATATATGAAAAGCAGAAAGCTAAAAAGGATGATGGAGTATGTCTCATAGTCAGAGACAAGCATGCTCTGAGATATAGTACACACCTGAAAATACAAAGTGCCGAGACATGACAAATGTTGACTTACAGAAAATAAAACAAGTAACCTAAGTTTTATAAGGAGGTTAACAGAAATATGCTAACTCATATCCATGCTCTGAGGTATGTCCACTGTTCTCTTTCTCTTAGACCATATAGTTAAAATCTGTTTTAAAATACCTTCAATAAATCTTGGCTGGGCTTTAAGAACATTATCAGTGTTGAGGAAGGGAAGAAAGACAAAAGAATGTATGTGCTGTGAAAGCAAAATGCAGACTGTTGAGGTGGGAGTGTGCAAGGGGCCAGAGAGACAAAAGGGGACAGAAGAGAAGACGGGAACAGAAGGACCAACAAAAACAAATTATGTTTTAAAATGCCACAAGGAAACACAATACTTTGTGGGCTAACTAAAATAACTTTAATTGAAAACAAAAATAAAACCTGAACAGAACATTCTCAGGAAAAAATCACAAGAGTGCTAGTATTCACTGCAATGGGGCTGAAATCAAATAACATTTCAAGTGGCCTTACAACTATTCCTCACCAATTCAAGCTATAAATTCATTTGTAACCACAATGTCAAGAGAAACATGTTGAAATAATCAAACATCTGGTACCCTCTTTGTTGCAAAAAGAAAACTCCACTCATTTTGGCAATTTTAAATGCTAGTTTTTATTTACTGCAAATTGTGCAAAGGACACTATAATACTGTGCAGCAGGACACTTATGTGAATCCAGTATTAAACAATACCATATGTGGCAAATGTAAAGCAGAACACCATGTAACTTCAAAACTAAATATCAGACTGCAATTCAGTTCTGACAATTCTTAAACCTGAAGTCTCATTTAATATAAACAAATAGCTAGGAGCATAACTTTCCCTCTCTTAAATTTCTTGAAAAGTGGAAATCATATTAATTTTAAATAGTTGATTAATATGCATTATATTATAAGAAAACAGCTTGTATGTTTTCCTTCTTTTATCAGTTGGCACCATCAGTTAGTACAATGTTCACAAGCTGGCTAACAGAAAACTGCCTACAATGAACTTGCTCATTATAGGGACCATTACATTCATTGCAATTTTCTTATTCATAACATAAGTGATATGCCCTTGTTTTAAAGAAATAGTTTACTTCAAAAGTAAAGTAATTTTAAAGACATACAATAGTGAACATTCGTACCACCTAAACCACTTAAGAATAAGACATTTATCAACCATAAAAGTAAAAATGGCAGCAAAGAATATTTTATATTGCCAAATCTTAATTCTGAGGTGTATAATGAGGTGAATTAGGTAGAAGCATATAGCCAACTGGCCCAGAATTTATAGCACCATGGATTTGGGCAGAACCACCATATGCTGCGCCAACTGGATGCCACATGCCAACATTGGGATAATCTGATGCAACAGGAATGCAGGAATCAAAACCTGGCAAAGGTGACCCATAGGGATCTGACATTATTGGATAATAGACTGCTCCATGAGGGACAGGTACAGCATCAGCAATGGGAAAAGTATCTGAAAAGAAAAAGATATATATATATATAGATAGATAGATACACACACACACACACACATATATATATATATATACACTCTATAGTAAAAACTCACTAGATGTAAATGAATACTCATGCAAGAAAAATTAAATATAGTATTAACTATAAGAAACAACACAGGGCCTGTCAGAAAAGCTGCTCAGTGGGGGGATGCTTGCTGCCAAGCTTGACATTTCTAGTGTCCCACATGGTGGAGGGTTGAAAGCTGACTCCTTTCTTGGGTTGTCTTCTGAGTGCTGCATGTGAACCATGGCATGCACACATACACAAAGGCACAGACATACACATTCATTCACATACACACATACACACACACACACAATGTAATTAAAACATTTTTTAAAGATCACAGAGGCTAGAGAGATGGCTCAGTGCTTCAGTGCCATTTGCTGCTCTTCCAGAGGGCCAACACCCACATGGTAGCTCATAACCATCTATAACTCCAGTTCTAGAAGACCCATGACACCCTCTTCTGAACTCCTCAGGAAAAACACCCATACATGAAAAGATTACAGCAACTCCAAGTAGGAACATTTTAATTCTGTTGTTCTTTTGAGACAAGGTCTCTCTACATAGCCTTGGCTGTCCTGGAACTTGCTATGTAGACCAGGCTAGCCTGGAAGAGATCTGCCTGCCTCTGCCTCCTGAGTTCTGGGATTAAAGGAGCACACCATACCTGGCAGAAGATTTTAGAGATGAATAATGATTTCTACAAGGTTACCAAAAGAGTGTCTGAAATCTTCTGTATTAAAAAGTTGCTTATACATACAATTAAATCAGGAATGGAAACATCATCTGTTTGTAACTGGGAATCCAGTACTTTTACCAAGTTACAAAGATCTTGCAAACATAGACACACTTCTTTATACTTTTTAAGAAACTACATTTACTAATAGCTCCAACTAGCTTACTAAAAGAGTTTCAAATTACTGTAAAGCTGTTAAACTTATAATGACAAGTTCAAGTTTGCAAAACCTCTAATTTTTATTTCAAACATAGATTTTCTTTCACTGTAAATTCAGCAAGTTGCGTTTTTTCCCTAAATTGACAGGCCTACATTTTCATTTGAGAAAATGATGCTCAGGCCAACCATGTTTGTCTATCATTCCTTCAAGGTGAAAAATATGTTCCATGTTAACAGTTAGCTAATAAATATCTTAAGTTAATAATCAAATTTGCCGACCGTGGTGACACACACAGACAGAATCTGCCAAAGGAGAAGGAAGCAGGAGGATCATGAGTTCAAGACCACATTTAAAGTCCTGGATGCCAGGTGGTGGTGCATGCCTTTAATCCTAGCACTCAGAAGCAGAAGCAGTCGGACCTCTGTGAGTTCAAAGCCAACTTGGTCTACAGAATGAGTTCCAGGACAGCTAGAGCTACACAGTGAAACCCTGTCTCAAAAAACCAAAAAGGAATAAATATCCTGGGCTACAAATTAAAGAGAGACTGGAGAGATGGCTCAGTAGTAAAGAGCACTGGCTGCTCTGCTCTTCTAGATGTCATGAGTTTAATTCCCAGCAACCACATGTTGGCTTACAACTTTCTATAATGGGATCCAGTGCCTTATTCTGGTGTACTGGTGGTATACATGCAGACAAAACACTCATATACATAAAATACATAAATCTTAAAAATAAAAAACAACCATGGCTGATATGTAGAACTGAATGGTATTGTAAAATAAAAGGAAAAATAAAAATAGATAAATAAATAAAAACAAACTTCATTTAGTTTATAGAAGTGTTTCATGACTGGTTCCTATATTTATCATGAAGAAAACTAAATACAATTAGCAAGAATGGAGACTTAAGAGTTTTTTTTAAATGAACCTCTCTGAAGAAATAAAAAAATCCACAATTCTGTACAAAGTGTAGCAGTAAAAAACATACTGGTTTATTAGTATAGCTTGATGCCACTGCCATGATATGGTACCAATAGTTTTATTCATGTTGATTTTAGTACTGAGAATGCAAATGCCACAAAGTCAATGTGGTGGTTTGAATGAAAATGGCCCCCCTAAGGTTATATATTTGAATAGTTGGTTAGTAGTTGGTAGAACTGTTTAGGAAGGATGTGGTCTTGCTGAAGGAAGAGTTTCTCTAAGGGTTGGGCTTTAAGATTTCAAAGGCCAGGCCATTCCCAGTCAGTGCAAGCTTGCTCACTCTCATGCACCCCCCCCCCCACACACACACACAGTCTCATGCTTGTGCATCAGATGTAAGCCCTCAGCTACTGCTCCAGTGTCATGCATGAATGCCTGCCACCATGCTCCCCAAACCATGATGATCACAGATTAATGCTCTGGAATTTTAAGCAAGTTCTCAATCAATTCTTCTTCTCTAAGTTGCCTTGGTTCTGGTGTCTCTTCACAGCAACAGAAAAGTAACTAAGAAAGTCAAAGAATGAGATGGGGCTACAACTCAGTGGTAGAACTCTTGCTTGGAATGCATGAAGCCCTGTGTTCAATCTGCAGTACCACAAAGAGAAAGAACAAATAAAATCTTAGTATTGTTTGTAAATACTACTGGCCTCATGCATGGGTCCTTTCAAAAAGTTCAAAGGATCACAAGGCATCTACATATATTTTTGAGAACTGATAATCTAAAAGCATATGGACTTAATGAAATATCTGCAGACTAAATTATACACAATAAAATCCAACTGACTTTCCTACTAGCAATCTCATTACATACTCACCATTTGTTGATACTTCTGCCTGTGTGTCATCTGCTCTCACTACATCACTGTAAAAATGAGGAGCACTTTGGTCTACAAGAGGTTGCTCAGTACAATCTGAATAACTCTCTCCATTAAGCTGTTGTTGCTGCTGCTGCTGCTGCTGTTGTTGTTGCTGTGGCGGCTGCTGCTGCTGCTGCCCATGTGGCACATAGACCATGGAGTGCAAGTAGTTGTGATGATAGCACTGGAGCAAGAAAAGGTGCAAGTGAAAACCTGCAAATCCTTATTGTTCTCTAGTCTTAATTCCTAGCTTAAAGAAATCAGGTGTTGTAACATCTGATATGTACCGAGATTTTTTTAAACTTATAACTTTAAGATCTTTTATACAACCTATAGTGCATATTTACACCTAGGGATACATTTTAAAAAATCAAAGATATAAACAGACTTGTACACAAAAATGTCACGTGTAGCCTTACTTTTTAAAGTAAAAAGTACTGAAAAACCTAAGTATTCAACAATATGGAGCTGAGACAACTGTTATATATCCATGGCAGACTACTACACAGGCAAAGATTCATGCTATCAAATATTTAAAGACAAAAAAAAAAAAAAAGCAGGCTGGAGATGACTCAGCAGTTGAGAGCACTCTTCCAGAGGTCCTTAGTTCAATACCCAACAACCACATGGTGGCTCACAATCATCTATAATGGGATCTGATGTCCTCCTCTGGTGTACAGACACACAGAGTATTCATATACATAAAATAAATCTTTCAAAAAAAAACGACAAAAAAGCTACTCATGCTAAGTTAAATGATTAGAAAATTAGATGTGATACGGGTTTTTAATAAATAAAAATTCAAAACCTATAAGATATCAAAACTGCTAATTCTGATGGGGGGTGGGCTGGGGGGAAGGGGAGGGGGGCAGGAAGGGAGAGAACAAGGGAATCTGTGGCTGTTATGTAGAACTGAATTGTATTGTAAAATAAATACAAAAAAAAAAAACCCTGCTAATTCTGCTTTTCTTAATACAAGTTCCCAAATATACTACAATGAACACTATATAACACTATTGTCTTTAATATAAAAAAGGAAAAAAAGTGTTAAGCTATCTATCATTCATCTCCTAGTTTTCCTGTGACTTAAACAGCAGTTTCTGAGAGGGGGTTCAAGAAAGGGCTTCTCTGTGTAGCCCTGGCTGTCCTGGAACTCAGAGATCCACCTGCCCCTGTCCTGGGTTTAAAGGTGTACACCACAACTGCCAGGGTTGGTTGTTGGATTGTTTTTGAGAAGGAGTTTCTATATGTTACTCAATCTACTTTTGCACTCCTGAGTTGAAGTGATCCTTCCACCTCAGCTTCTTGAGTCGGTAGAACAACAGACATGTACCATAATGCCTGGCTAGGAGAATTATTTTTAAATGCCTCAGCCTTATGGATTGTATAGCCAAGTTTCCACATGAGTGTAATAACTGAAGGGACAAGTAATTATCAATCCTAAAACTACATTTAAAAAGATAATATCAAAGAACAAATACCTACCCTACTACTCTTAACTTAGATGCGTGCTATATGAGGAAAAAGGTTTTCTGCTGATGTCTAACGTCTCAGGGAAATTACTGCAAGGGGCTATGAATTACCTGAGCCATCTCCAAGAGACTATTAGTTTAATATCATGTGCTAAATGTTCATCTCCACCATTCTTTTTCAGGAAATATGCTATCTGGTTATGGGTTATATTAGTTATAAGTGAAGTGTATTTGAAGGGGAAAAATGATCCCTGGCTCCACAAACCAAAACACCTATCAGTGATAACAAGATGTAGGCTAGTATGTACACCTTTCAAACTCAGGAAAGTGTTTAGCACTTGGTGCTTTTAAAAGTTATTTAGGTGGCGCACGCCTTTAATCCCAGCACTCGGGAGGCAGAGCCAGGCGGATCTCTGTGAGTTCGAGGCCAGCCTGGGCTACCAAGTGAGTTCCAGGAAAGGCGCAAAGCTACGCAGAGAAACCCTGTCTCGAAAAACCAAAAAAAAAAAAAAAAACAAAACAAAAAAAAAAAAAGTTATTTAAATGTCATTGAACTAAGTCTGATTTTCACATAGAATACAGAAATTTCCCTAAGATATAAGTAAACCAATAATTCTCATTCTGGATATATGCCACTGAAGGGCTGGTATATGATGTTAAGTATGAAGCATAACCTAATATATATGCAGTTGTGCTTAGAGACCAGCCACCACTCTCTTCAACTTAACACTATTTCACAGTAATACAATGAGCTATGCTAAAGTACAAAACTGACCAACATCAGCTTCAGAGATTTCTTGAGAAAATAAGAGACATTCACGGTATTCCTGGCTTTTAAAGTTCAAAAGTCTGATTTCTCAAAACAGATTATTATTTAAACACAGGACTTATCAAAATAATTTTAGTATTATTCCTACCTGCAATCCCAGATTGAAATAGTACTGCAAAACTTTTGTATCTAAAACAAAAAAAAAGACTTTTATAAGACTGACATAAGCAATTTAGATTACTTAACAGCTTTTCCCTGCAAATTATTAAAATAGATAGTCATAGCCATCTCACACACTACCACAACTCTCAATTCTGCTTTAAAGGACTATTTCTTCACTTGGCATAGCTATGATCATTTTGTGACACAAGGTTTAATCACCCAATACAAACTTCATTTCTGCTCTTAGTATTAGACAGATGCTACTGTAATGCCATTCTGTTACTAAGAAAACAGCTAGAAAAGACATTTTCTTGCTTGTCTTAAGATGAAAATTTTACACCTCTACCTCAGTTACTCACACTACTACATAGTATAAACTGCTCTATTAATGCTGAGCAGTGATGCCCACTGAAGAAACTTAGCATAGTCATCTTGTTTTGATTTATCATAACATACTATAACACACTACCACCAGAACTCCAAAGAGAGGGGACAGTAACCAAGGCAGGCAGAAATGAATTAAAGCCTAAAATGATAAAACTTCTCCAAGTATAGAACTCAAATAGTTGATAAATTAGCCAAAACTAGATGTACAGCAGTAGAGGGAATATTCACAGTATTCTTGTTTTTGTCTGTATTATTTTAATGTCTGGCATGGACACTGAAGGCCTTGAAAACACTACATAGAAATTCTACCACTGAAAAAACATCCTCATCCCTATTCTGAGTATTTTAATTGTATCGATAAGTGCACTTAACTGGCTGACCTGCGTCCACACATATTTTTATTATTATTATTTTTTTTTTTTTTTTTTTTTTTTTTTGGTTTTTTTCGAGACAGGGTTTCTCTGTGTAGCTTTGCGCCTTTCCTGGAGCTCTCTTGGTAGCCCAGGCTGGCCTTGAACTCACAGAGATCCACCTGGCTCTGCCTCCCGAGTGCTGGGATTAAAGGCGTGCGCCACCAACGCCCGGCTATTTTTATTATTAATATAGCCCAAGTTCCACTAACAAGATGAATTTGTGGAAAATGTCCCTTTCATAAGCTAAAGCCTCCCTATGGAAATCCATTTATTGCCATTTTTTGTTTTGTTTTGTTTTTGTTTTTTTCTCTGAGACAGGGTTTCTCTGTGTAGCTTTGCGCCTTTCCTGGATCTCGCTCAGTAGACCAGGCTGGCCTCGAACTCACAGAGATCCACCTGGCTCTGCCTCCCGAGTGCTGGGATTAAAGGCGTGGGCCACCACCGCCCGGCCATTTATTGCCATTTTAAAAGAATCAGTATGTATTTTGACTAACATACGGGGATATAAAGCCAGATGCTCCAGCTAAAGAATATGAGAACAGAAAGTAAATCTCTGGCACACACAAACATCAATACAAAAACCTACACACCAATGTTTATGGTAGTACCTATCATCACAATGGTCAAAAGGTAGAAACAACCCAAATCTCCATCAACTGATAGAAAATAAATGTGGCATAACCATACAATGAGCATTATTAAACTATACATAGTGTTAAGTATTGGTACCTATATACAAGAATGATGAACCTTACAAACACGCAATTATTCACAAAGACCAAAATCTGGAAATAGCCTAAATACTTATTGATAGATGAATGGATAAAGAAAAGGTGGTATATATACACAATAGTCTTATTCAGCAATAAAGAATAAAGTCATGACATCTATTGGAAAATAGATGGCACTACAGATAGTATGTGAAATAAGCCAGACTTAGACAAATGTTTCTTTTCATATGAAGAATCTAGTTTTAAAGTTTTTTTTTTGGGGGGGTTGTTGGGGGGGTAAGAACTCTCTTTTTTGGGGGGCGGGGGTTTCAAGACAGGGTTTCTCTGTGTAGCCCTGGTTCTGCAACTCTCTTGTAGACCAGACTGGCCTCAAACTCAAGAGATTCACCTGCTTCTGCCTCCCTGGAATTAAAGGTATGTGCCACCACACCCAACCCAGAACTCTTTATCTTTATTTATCCATGCCAAGGTTAACACCCTAATACCAACTGTATTTGATGCACTAAAAGAACAAAATTAGAAAATGAAACGTCAAAGTAGCAGAGGAATGACTATGACAGAAGGGATCTAAAAGCAGGGCAAGAAGAAAAAGATAAAGAGTAATGCATTGGGAATAATCAATTACCACATGTTTGGTCTCATGTGAATCTAGACTCAACTACATATACATATATAAAAAGACATGAAAGCAGAAGGGAACTATCTAGAAAAAAAGGAACTAGTGGAGGCACCAAGTATGGGAGATGATAGTGGGAATGTGAATATGGTCAAAATATGATATACAGTACAAAAATGTCATAATGAAATCCATTATATTATAGGGTATGATGATACAAAAGCTCATAGTTCTATCCTTACAAAATCCCAGCACAGAAAGGAGAAAGGAGATTTACATAATCCCTTCACTAGCTTAGGAGCATTAGCACTAATAGCTTCTAGGAAGGGGATAGTCAGTTTTCCTGGGAGGATGACCACACATCAGAGCAGCCCCCAATCCCAAGATAGCTGGGTAACACCAACTGGATTCTGTGAGCAATGAAGAAAAAAGAAATCTCAAGAGTGTTTGGAAAGGGATGGAAAGTTGAGAGGTGTTAAGGAGAGAACTTGAGGGGGGTGAATATGTTCAAGAGACATTTTATGAAGTAAGAATTTATAAGGAATATTCAATTAAATACTAACCATAGGGAAAAAACAAGTGAATCACTAATTTTAAAGAGCACTGATAAACACTCACGCCCAGTTTAAGAAGCACTGTACAAATTACACACTATATTGGTTACATTTATATATAAAACTAACCCATGGTAGAAAACAAAAGAGCAGAGAAATGATGATATCTAGGGGAAAATGACAGGGAGGTCACAGAAAACTTTTGGACAGATCTGGGGAGGTAAGTATCTGTCATGCAGACATAAATCCAAGTCCCAGAACTCATACAAAAAACACTGGGCATGGTAATACACACTTGTCACCTCAGCACTGGAAAAACAGGCAGGAATTGCGTTAGCTGGATAGATAGCCTAAGCCTACTTGCTAACTTCTTGGGCAATGATATCTCATCTCAAGAAAAACAAAAGCAATATGTGAGGAACCACCGAAGTTGTTGCAACATATACATGAATATGCACATGCAGGAAAAAAATTGTTAACAAAAAAATTTTTTAATTAAAAAAACCAAAGTGTTGAGACAATAACAATATTTATAATTTAATTAGTAATGGGCTACATGGGTAACTTTTGATTTTGTGTGTTGTAATGAATACATAACGACACATATTAACAAATTATAGAATCTTTCAATACATGAATACATTGGACAATAATTAAATTATTGTAAAATAATTAAATGTTTAAATAAACATTCTTTACTACAAATATTCACCACTTCCTTGTGATAACAACATTTAAAATCTTTTCTTAGTTATTTTGAAATACATAGTATATATGTATATCTAACAGTGCAAATACAACACCAAAGCAGTCCTCACATATAATATGTAATTCTGTACCTAGTGATCAATCTTCATTAATTTATCCTCCTATATTCTTCTCAACCTCTAGGAATTACTATCCTATTCTATATTTCTATGAAATAAGAAGTATGTTTTCACACTTTACAAATAAGTTGAGACATGCAGTATTTGTCATTTTGTACCTGGCTTATTTTACCAAATACTATGCATGTCTTCTAGATTAGTCCACAAATTATAGGATTGTCTTTTATGTACATTGTGTATATATACTCATTTTCATTATCCTTTATGGTTGGGAGGTCTACTGATAAATACAATTTACCTTTAAAGCCATCAAAAACAAGATGGGTTAATTTCCCGTCAGACGAACAAAAGGAACAATGAGCAAATATGTGATAAAAACAACAGTCAAACATCAACAACATAATCTTGCTGGCAATTATATTATCAATGAAAAAAATCAATAATGTTTATCTACCTTCCCAATAAAATGCTAGAAAAATAGAAAATCAGCATCATATGATGGTTGAATACTACTTGGGCACCAAAGGTGAACAGAATAAAGTAGTCAGGATTTAGATATTGGGTTAAATTAGGTAGAAACAACAATAATACTTACAAAATATGAAACCAAGAAGAGGAATAAATGTTTTGTGTTGACTGGTGAAAGACAAGAAGGAAAAGATGAGGAATTTCATTAGAGACCATTTAAGTTTGAAAGTTAAAAAGCTAAGTGAAAATGTATAGTAAGCAACCAAAATTTCTGAGCACAAAGCTAAATAGATTTAGAATCGACTAAAAAGTTTTTTATGGAAAAAGAACAGAACAGAGTTGGAGAAAATCCTGTTGACTAGTTCAGGGCTAGAAAGAACTCAGAAAAAAAAAAAGCAGCAGCTAGAAAAAAATTAGGAAAATGTTGTAAGCAAGAAAGTATAAGCAAGTTGCTAACAATTTTCAACTAAAATTCTCTTTGAGTAATACTACCAAACTCAAGGGCAACAAAGAATTTCCAATGGAAAAAAAAATCACTGCTGGTTGTTGAAGGAAGCAGAAATACATGATTGATACTCAAAGCAGATCAGATGAATAGAAGCTTTCTCCACATACTCAAAATTCAGTTGGTATACTAAGTATCAAAAAGCTAACAATTTCATACAGTTGGGGAAAGAACTTAAATACAAGAAAGCTTTTAATATTACCTCCCAATTGAAAATAAAATAGTTGAGGAAAAAACAAAGCTATCCATGTGAATCTCTTTCATGAAAGACATGGAGCTACAAGAGGGGAGCAGAGGAAGAGTCATGATTCAATCCAACTATCTGTTAAAGTTAACTCTGTAGAGGATACTTGCAGTTGCTCCTTGTTAGCCACCTAGAATTATATGCTCAAATTGCTCTCATTTGGTTCTGCACCCATCAGTCATCCAGAAAATGTTCTAGATTCAAAAACGATCTCAAACCTAAATAACTTGTACCAAATTTCAAAATACCCTACCTTGGGGCAGATCACTTCCACTTGGATCACAGGAATAAGGTGGCAGTGGTGGGGGTAGAGACAAGCCTGATGCATCTCCTGCTTCAAGAGGAGCTGGAGGAGGAGGAAGTGGAGGAGGAGGCGGTGGTAGTGGTGCTGCCACTGCTACTGCTGCTGCTGCTGCTCCTGGAGGCTGAAGATAGGCTGCAGCAGTAGAAATCAGAGAATTACTACAGACAGTCAGCAATAACAAAGAAATAAAATGTGAAATAGCAATGCACAACTGTTGCCCCTTATGAAGCAGTAGCTGACCTGCTTTTTTTGTCCCCACTCCATATAATCATAGAACTCTGCATTCTCATGAGTTGACTTAAAGAGATACTTGGGGGTCTTGTGCTCAGTGCATGAGTTGGCTGTTTGAACCCTGGGGCTTATACAGGGACACTTGGCTCAGCCTGGGAGGAGGGGACTGGACCTGCCTGGACTGAATCTATGAGGTTGATCTCAATCCTCGGGGGAGTCTGCCCTGGAGGACGTGGGAATGGGGAGTGGGCTGGGGGTAAGGGGAGGGGGGAAGGAGGGGGGAGAACAAGGGAATCCATGGCTGATATGTAGAATTAAATTATATTGTAAAATAAAATTAAATTAAATTAAAAAGAGAGAGAGAGAAACACTTGGATGCAAATTGAAAGATGTTTCCAGTAACCTGTCACTGTTGGTCAAATAATAAGACACAGAACTCAACAGAAAAAAACACATACAGTAGAGATTTTAGCAACCTTACAAATTCTCCTGGCAGCCTCAGAAGAACGTGGGGAACTTTAAATTATCAAGTTCTAGTTCTGAGGAGACACAGACTTTAAAAAATGGACTGGATACAATATTTTATCCTTGTAACATTCTATATCTATTACTATAGTTTAAAGAGATTCATCTAGGAGTTACCTTTAATACAAAGTTGAAATATAATATAATAATTGTTTGCATATTAAACCTCTATGATGATAAACAGTATGTTTCCAACATAGTTAAAATACCTACATATATAGTTAAAAATCTGTTATTTTGATCAATGCTAAATGGCATAATCCTTCAAATTTATTTGAACAATTTTAGTCAATTTAGAAATTAAAGTATCAAACTTCAAAGCTGTGCTAGATACACAATTTTTTTCTTTAATTTGGAGCTGAGGACCGAACCCAGGGCATTGCACTTGCTAGGCAAGCATTCTACCACTGAGGTAAATCCCCAACCCCTCAATACATAATATTTTTAACACTAGAAGGCACAGAAAGTCTCATCTCATCATTAAATAAAGGATTAAATTCAGAGCTATAAGACACAGAATTTAGCTTAAAAACAATCCACAAGCTCAATTTTTTACTCTGAAAATTTTGCAAGAAAGGGATCTACTTTGCCTCCATTCACTGGCAATGCTAATAATACATTCATACCTTTTATACAGTTAACAGTAATAAGAATGTATCTACAGATGATATCAAAGCAAAAAAAATCATAAGCAATTTTTTGGGAGGAGGTAAAAAACAATCCTCTTGATTGTGGTGTTGCTTACATAACAATGCATCTGTGAAAAATTCAAAGAACTGGACAATAGGAAGTGAATTGTATTAAAGCTAAACTACACAGCCACTTTTAACAATTTGTCTTTTGGAGTTGTTTGATAAATTTAGAAATGTCTAATTTCATAGTTTTAGAAAAGTAATTTAATTATTAGAATATCTACTAATGTTTGGATGCATTTATAAAATGGGGTTTCCAACAAAATTCTTTCCTTGTCTCTTTTAAAACAAGCACTCAAAACAAATCATACTATGTTTTTATAAAAGCAAATGGAGTATGGGTCTGGCAGAACAAACTTGTAATCTCAGCTACTTGGGAGGACAAGGCAGAATGATTTCAAATTCAAGGCCTGCCTAAGCAATTTTGTGAGACTCTGTAGCAGAATGAAATGTGAAAACAGAGCTAGGGATGAATAACTAAGTGCTTGCCTAGCATGCACAAGGCTCTAGGTTTAATGGCCATTACCAAGAAAATGAAGTAAGGCCAATTACTTGAAAACAAAAATGTGATTTATGATCACTGGGTACAAACCAACTACTAGACCTAGAAGTAGCAAAATAAGCTGTCAGAAACCTGAGAGAATCAAGTTTAAAGAAACTAGGGTGTTAGTCTGCCATAACTGACATCCCTTATAAATGTGTAATACAATAATCACCCATTTTTCCCTCTACTATGTATGCAGTCCTGGTTGAACTGCAACTTGATATATTGCTATATAGACTAGCTAGGCTCAAGCTTAAGAGTGTGTGTGTGTGTGTGTGTGTGTGTGTGTGTGTGTATGTGTGTGTCTGTGTGTCTGTGTGTGTGTGTTACGTGTACAGTGAGAATGTATGACACATCTTTCATGTGGGGATCAAGTGTTCGAACCATCTTGCCAGCCTTTTTTGTATATTGTAAATTTCATTTCATGTTCTTCCTACATCAAGTATTGCTGTCCAAGTTTGTTAATTATAGTTATTTCCTTATATTCCACAGGCTCTTTACATAGATTCTCAAAAGACTATATTTTTTTCATTAAAGTCTAGCGATTTTAGTGCAACTTTCTCTTTAATGATTTATTTATTTTTATTTTATGTTCATTGCTGATATTTTGCCTACATGTATGTTAGTGTAAGGATGTCCCTGTAACTGGAGTTACATACAGACAGTTGTGAACTGCCATATGGGTGCTAGAAAATGAATCTTACTGGACTATCCTAATGTTGGATGTTCTGTGTTGATATTCTCATCTCTGCAAGGTGCTATTATGCATGTTTCAAAGATTTCATGTTTCTTTTGTTTCAACAAAGTTTTCTGAATTACACATTTTAGTATTTGTTCCGTTCCCTTCAGTATTCTCCTTCAGGGATTTCTATCATTATTTCATCTCTTTTACCTAACTGCAACATGTCACTTTCGAATCATTACCTTTTTTGTTTTGTTTTGTTGGTATTTTTGAGACAGGGTTTCTCTGTGTAATAAGCCCCATCATGAAACTCACCTTGTAAAACAGACTGGCCTCGAACTCAGAGATATCGCTGCTTCTGCCTCCTGAGTGCTGGGATTAAAGGCGTGTGCCACCACACCTGGATATTATTTAATTATAGATTCCTTTCTTATATACTCATTCATCTTGAAGCACTGTCTAACTGTACTTATCTCCCTAAGCTCTTTATAGTTTTCATTATCGAAATGATCTCCTTCTCATTCTACAAATTCCATCATTTTACTTTATACTTGTGTATGAAGTTCGACCTAAATGTTTTGTTTTAGTTATGCTGACATTTGTGTGAAATTTCTCTTTATAAAATTGAGAATGAGGTAAAGTACAAGGTGGCTTTCCCAATTCTCTAGAGTTTTCTTTTTTGTGCAGTGTTCAAAAAACATGTTTTCTAGAATTCACTAGGAATAGACCCAATCTTTTCCCCCATCCTGATCAATTTTATCCTTCTACTTAAAGCAGCTTTCTTCTTTGAGAAGAAGTACACCCTTGAAAGAATAGAATCCATTCTGTGGGTTCTTAGAAACTAAACTGCTTTAAAGCCGGGTGGTGGTGGCGGCGCACGCCTTCAATCCCAGCACTCGGGAGGCAGAGCCAGGCGGATCTCTGTGAGTTCGAGGCCAGCCTGGGCTACCAAGTGGGTCCCAGGAAAGGCGCAAAGCTACACAGAGAAACCCTGTCTCAAAAAACCAAAAAAAAAAAAAAAAAAGAAAAGAAACTAAACTGCTCTAATCCTTTCTACAAAGTGCCTCACTTAGTAACAGATCAAACCTCTCTCTATGCTTCCAAATTGACCATTCTACCTTCTAAGGAAATTTTATTGTTGTTTTGCTTTCTTTGTTTTTATTTTGTTGAGACAAGGTTCCTCTGTATAGCCACTGGCTGTCTGGAACTCACTCTGTAAACTAGGATAGCTCGGAACTCAGAGATCCATCTGCCTCTGCCTCCCTAGTGATGGGATTAAAGGTGTGCAACCACCACATCTGGCTCTAAGTGAATTATTAGCTCAGCTCCTTTAGAACTCTGTAAGGAAACCAGATCACTAGTTTTTTGAGGGTTTTTTTTTTTTTTTTGCAGATGCTGTTTATGGCTCTGGATTTTATTTTTCCATTTTTATATGTGGAGACTCAGATGGAAAAGCTATGCTGTTGCTACTACTTTTCTAAAAGTTTAAATTATATTACTTCATTAATATTTAGCTACTACTCCATAAACAGGTACTGTTGGCATTCCCAAGGTCACAGTAATTTGTGTCCATAACTTGTCTAAAATTACACAGCTAGTGGGTAGTAAAACCAGTATTATAGTATCTTAGATTCCTTAAATTCTAGAGTTTAGTATCTATTATGACAGTCACAGGACAAGGAGTTATTACATGGGTAGAGGTTTTATAATAAACTTTTAAAAAATTTATAGTATAAAATAACTATCTCAATGTCAATCCTCAAGTAATAAAACATAACTCATGGGGTTAGCAAGATGACTCAGTGTGTACAATGAATTGCTAGTGACCCAAGTTTGATTCCTGAAATTCACATAAAAGTGGAAGGAAAAGAATCACTTCATTAGTTTCTTCCATCTAATAATTAGAATAACAGTATGTACATATTTGTGAGTACAAAAAGGTTTCCAAAGCAAACACTAATAGCCTACCTTGACTGTCTTGTGCAGGTGGAGGTACAAAGACAGGCTGTATGGCATTCTGTGAGGAAACATCAGAGGTACTAATAGTTTGATTATCTCCTGCTGCACAGTTAGGTAAGACTGGAACTGGAACATGGCTGGCCCAGGAAACTCTAATTGCTGTAGAATTTTCTAACATCTATTAAGGGGAAGAAAGATTAAAATTCTTAAGTTTAGTTTCTCAAATTGTATTTGTTTCTTCTCTGAACCTAACTTCAAGAAATTGCAATTTTCCTGGTGACCCAACATTGAGAAACCAATCTGTATGCAAATCATATATAGTTACTTCTTTTGCAGGATCTCTGATAATACATTAATATCAAACAATAAGGCCAAAAGTTGGGGATGGTGGAAAGTTTCCTTCCAACTCCTATTCTCTATCTGCCTAGTTGCCATATTCCCAAAACAGTAACTTCTCCTCAACAGATTTGTAAAATATATTCATTTTCATTTATGTACACATATTTAGCCACATAAACATTTAAGCAGAAGAGATGCTTTGTGTTTAAGTTTAACTGGATGACTTAAACATTTATTTTCCGATCTGGGTGCCAAATTCTTTAAGAGAACATACTATTTTCCCAGGACATATGGTATACAGAAATGTATATAAATATAATAAACAACTAACAGGCTGAGCAGTGATAGTGCACGCCTTTAATCCTAGAACTTGAGAGACAGAGTCAGGGGGATCTCCAAGTTCAAAGCCAGCCTGGTCTACAGAGTGAGTTCAAGACAGCCAGGACTACTCAGAGAAACTCTGTCTCGAAAAAAAAAATAAAAATAAAAATAACAGACTCTTAAACACTGTATTCACTGGCAGCCTCCATTTCTCTTCTGAGTACCACAAAATGGCTCTTACCCAGTCAGATCATCTAAAATGAAGTCATATCAATCAAAGCCTGCTACAGTCTGGTTAATCTTTACATTGCTTGACCTCGTTGGAAACAGCCATATTTACTGTTACTGGAAATGTTCTCATTCCAGAGTCTCAATACATTCTTCTACTTTTGCTCTGTCCTCAATCATTTCTTCTCTACTCATTTCAAAATTTTGGTGATCTACTGGATGATCTATTGGATCATACTCTCCTTTTCAGCACTACAGATTCAGCTACCTTTGTAAATGCCAACTTCCAATTTATGTTTCAGTAAATAAGAGACTTGAAAAGTAATTTATTTTTGACTTATTCATAAGAAGTTCACAGTAGACCACACAACAGTGTCTGAAGCAGTAGACATTTAAGTGACTTGTTAAATAAATGTATTAATCACTGTGCCAGGTTGAACAGAAGGCACAATAATACTTAATGGAATATAAGCAGCTGCTCAGAATTATGTTGAAGGCAAAGAATTCATTTTCTTATATTTAGCTTACTGTAAATGACTGTTTGGTAATACTATGAAGATTACCTTCTGGGGATAGTTGTATGAGGTAACTGTGTCTTGAGGCACAGAACATGGTCCACTGTCCTGAAGAGACTTTAATAAATACAGAAATATAATTGAATAAAGGGAAACAAAGAAATCAAAGGCAATTTTCACTCTCCTTCCTATCCTCCATTATAGTCTCTCTAGGCTCATCCCCAGACCGGTAGCAACCTGCTTACAGGTGGCTCTTCTCCCACACTAACCCCATCCCTGGGGGACTACACAAGGACTTCATGTGGACTCACCTTTCCTCCTTCTTGTGGACCCTCTCACCCATCCCCAGCCTATCCCCATTCTTTTCTGTCAGCCTCAACCTTAGGAACACTCTCTACCCAGTTCCTCCAAATAGGTATACCTGGCAGACCGAGGTAGGTGATTTACACTATCCTTCCCTTCCTGTCCTCCATTACCATCTCCATATTCCATTCTCATCCTCAGCCAGGTTGCTTACAGATGCCTCCCCTCCCAACTCAACTCCATTCACTGGAGACTCCAATTCAGACCCAAGGGCCTCCTAACCCTTTCATCCGTCTCTCCACTTTATTCTTTGTCTTCAACCTTCTTGCAGGATCATCCCTTCCCACCGCACTTCCAACTAACTCCCTAGGAACCCTACCTCTTGATGTGGACAGGATACTTTTGTCTTTCCTGAAGCCCCTCCCTCTTCAGCCTTTTCTCCCAGTCAACCCTCCATACCTCTCAGTCAACCATCAACCTGCAGAAGCACCCAATATCAGACAACCCACAGCTACACTTTTGTGATACCCAGAGAAGGCAAAAGAAACCAAGGAATGGAATAACCACCCAACAAAGACAAGACCTGATATTAACACCTATAATCACCTCAATCATGCCAATGCCAGATGACTAGACACAAACACAAACATTAACAAGGACTTCAAACCAGCTATTATAAACACAACAGCTATTATGTTCAAGAACATCAAAGAGGATATGACTAAATTCCTTAATGAAGTCTGTGGGAAAAAAGTTCAAGAAAAATGAAAGTAAAAATAGAATCACCAAGAAAAACCCAAACTGAGATAAAACTGGAAATAAAAATTTTGCAAATTAAACAAAACCTCAGAGGTAAGTGCTGTGGGATATCATTCTGTATGCTATGAATGTGTGTTGTTTTGATTGGTTGATAGATAAAATCCTGATTGGCCATTAGCCATGCAGGAAGTATAGGCAGGGCAAGCAGACAAGGAGACTTCTGGGAAGAAGGGCTGAATCAAGAATCGCCAGCCAGACACAGAGGCAGGAAGGTGACAAGGCAGAACTAAGAAAAGGTACCAACCCACGTGGCTAAACATAGATAAGAATCATAGGTTAAATTAAGTCTAAGAGCTAGTCAGTAATAAGGCTAAGCTAATGGCCAAGTAGTTATAATTCATATAAGCCTCTGTGTGCTTAACTGGGGGACGCAAGTGGGAGAGATTTGTTGCTGGCAGTCAGCTAGGACACAGGAAATCTTCCAGCTACAGGTAAGCTTCACCAACAGAGAATAGAGGAAGAAGAGAAGCAGGTCAAAGGCACAGAAAATACTTTGAACAAAACATTTAAACATACAAAACACCCAATAGACTGGACGAGGAAAAAAAATTTCTGAATGACACATAATAATCAAAACACTAAACAAACAGAAGAATATTAAAAGCTACAAGGAAAAAGAACAAGTAACATATAAAGGCAGACCCATGAGAATAACACCCAATGAAGACTCTAAAAGTCAGAAGGGCCTATCTGGACTGATGTTCTACAAACACATATACCACATGCCAACCCAGAGTACTATACTCAGCAAAATTATCAATCACAATACATAGAGAAAATAAAACATTCCATAATAAAACCAAAGTTAAGCAGCATCTGTCTACCAATCAAGGTCTTCTGAAGGCACCAGAAGGAAAACTACAACCTAGAGAGGTCAAGAAAACACAGGGAATAAATAATTCCAGACCAGAAAAATAAAGAGGGAGAAAAAAAACATAACAAGAAAATAACAGTAATCAACAAACACTGCTCACAGATAATTCCCCAACATCATGGTCTTACTCTCCTCACATCCCTAAAGACACCAACTAACAGAATGGATTAGAAAACAGGATCTTTCTGATGTATCCAAGAAACACACCTTAACATAAAGGAAAAATATCACCTCAGGGTAAAAGGATGGAAAAAGATATTCTAAGCAAATGGAAATAAGAAGTAAGCTGGTGTCAACATTTAAATATCTGACAAAATAGACATCAAACTAAAACTAATGTGAAGAGATAGGGAAGGACATTACATACTCAATGGAGGGAGGGGAATCAACCAAGAGGATATTCTTAACATCTAAGCAACAAACACTAGGGCAACCAAGTTCATAATAGTAACACTGCTATAGCTTAAATCACATACTGACCCTCAACACAGTGAGAGCAGGAGATTTTAATACATCACTCTCACCAACAGACAAGTCATTCAGACATAATCTAAACAGAAATGCTGGAGTTAAATAATGTCATAAATCAAATATACCTAACACAAAAGAATATACCATCTTCTCAGCAGCTTGTGGGACTTTCTCCAAAATAGACAACATACTTGGACACAAAGCCAACTCTCAATAGATACGAGAAAACTGAAATAACATCTTATATCCTATCTGGACTAAAGCTGGACCAACACCAAGTGGTGTTGGCTCATGACTTTAATCCCAACACTCCGGAGGCTGAGACAGGTGGATCTCTGAATTGGAGGCCAGCCTGGTCTACAGAGCGAGTTCTAGGATGGCCAGAGATACACAGACAAACTCTGTCTCGAAAAACAGAACAAAAATTAAAGTTGGATTTCAGCAACAACAGAAAGTGTATAAATTTCTGTTGTTGATGAAATCCAGAATGGACCAGAAATATAACAATTTACTACTGAATAAAAACTGGTCAAGATAAATGGAATTCACCATATAGACTCAGACAAAAAACTCACATGATCATCTTATTAAAAGGCCTTGGAAAAAACTCCAAGACTCCTTTCTATGGTAAAAATCTTTGAGACTAGAAATACAAGGGACCTCAATATAATAAGAAATTTATAGCTACATAACAGCCACAGATTCCCTTGTTCTCCCCCTTCCTGCCCCCTCCCCTTCCCCCCAGCCCACCCTCCATTCCCACCTCCTCCAGATCAAGGCCTCCCCAGAGTATTGTAAAATAAAATAAAAGAAAAAAGAAAAAAAAATTTATAGCAAGCCCACAGCCAAAAGCAACCTAATTGGAGAACTCAAAGCCATTCCACTAAAATCAGGAACAAGATGAAGATTTTCACTCTTTCCATATCTATTCAATATAGTACTTGAAGTCTTAGCTAGAGCAATAAAACAACTGAAAATCAAGGGGACACAAATAGGAAAGGAAGAAGTCAAAGCATCTTTATTTACAGGTAATGTGATTTTATACATAAATGGCATTAAAAACTCCACAAAACTTCTATAGGGGATAAACAATAAGCAAAGTAGCAGGATAGAAAATTAGCACAGAAAAATCAGTAGTCTTACTATGACAAACAGACTGAGAAAGAAATCAGGGAAGTAGTGTCTGTCACAATAGCCTCAAAATCTTGGTGTAACTCTAACCAAACAAATGAAACATTTATATAATAAAAACTTTAACACATTAAGGAAAGAAAATGACAAATAAAGATGGAAAGGTCTCCTATGAAAATGAATCTGGGGGACTAAGAGAAAATAGTTGTCCCACCAAAAGCAATCTATAGATTCAATACAATCCTCATCAAAATTCCAACACAATTGTTCACAGAAATCAAAAGTGCAATGTTCAGCTTCATATTGAAACATTTAAAAAAAATAGGCTGGAGAGATGGCTCTGAGGTTAAGAGCACTGAAGGATCTTCCAGAGATCCTGAATTCAATTCCCAGCAACCACATGGTGGCTCTTAACCACCTGTAATGACATCTGTGCCCTATTCTGATGTGCAGACATACATGCAGAGCACTGTATACATAATAAATAAATCTTTAAAGCAAAAGACAAAAACAAAACAGGATAGCTAACACAATCCTAAATAATAAAAGAACTGCTGGAAGTATCACACCATCCCTGATTTCAATCAAATTCTATTACAGAGCTGTACTAAGAAGAACAGAGTAGCATTGGCACAAAACAGACCCAGACAGAAGTCCATACACCTATGGATACCTGATTTTTAATAAAGCAGCCAGAAATATACACACAATGGAAAAAAAAAACATCTTCAACAAATGGTGCTGGTCAAAATGGATGGTTACATGTAGATTACAAATATGTCCATATTTATCGCCCTGCACAAGACAACTCCAAGTAGATCAAGCACCTCAACATAAAGTCAAATACACTGGCACTGATAAGAGGAATAGCCTTGAGTTCATTACTACAGGAAAAGATTTTCTGAGCAGAACACCATTAGCAGACACTAAGAACAATTAATAAATGGGAATCTCATGAAACCTAGAAGCCTCTGCAGCAGGCTACAGAATGGAAAAAGAACTTCACCAACTATCATGTGATAAAGGGCTAATATCTAAAAATTATGAAAAATTTAAAAAATTGAACATCAATAAAAAAAACACCATTAAAATGGGGTACAGAACTAAACAGAGTTTCAAAAGATACAATACAAATGGCTGAGAATCACATAAAGAAATGTTCAACATCTTTAGCCATCACGGAAATGCAAATCAAAACTACTTTGAGATTTCATCTTATACCAGTCAAAATGGCCATAATCAATAAAACAAATGACAGCTCATGTTGGTGAAGATGAGGGGTAAGGGAACACCGATCCATTGCTGGTGGGACTGAAAACTTGTACAGCTACTATGGAAATCAATATGGTGGTTCCTCAGTAAGTTGGGAATCAATCCATCTTAAGATCCAGCTATACCACTCTTGGGCATATACCCAAGGAACTCTATATCCTACTACTTAGACACTTAGTCATTCATGTTCATTGCTGCACTATTCATAATACCCAGAAATTGGAAATAGACTAGATGTCCACCAACAGATAAATGGATAATGAAAATGTGCCATATTTAAACAATGGACGATTATTCAGCAATTTAAAAAAAAAACCACAAAATTTGCAGGTAAAAATGGATGGGAAGTAGAAAAAAATAATCCTGAATAAAAGGTATCTGAAACCTAAAAAGGTAAGTATGGTGTGTATTCTTGCATATTTGGCTGTTAGCCTTTAGCCTTTGTTTGATAGGCATGCTACAGTCCATATAACCAGAGACAATGGCAGCATGCACATGGCCTACACAGATCCAAGCCAGATGGGGTCTGAGTGCTGAGTGAGGAAGTAGATATGAGCTCCCACCCCTAACTCAGAAGCTATTGCCAACTGACAACTACTTGCAAAGAAAAATTTATTTTCTCTAATAGTCTCACTTAGTATACAAAGCACATTTAAAAGCAGGCCACATGCCCAGCAGTAGACTGCCACAACACAGAACAAACTCATTGGTATTTTTGGAGTTTTTTTTTTCTTTTGGGGAAGGGGGTGAGTTCTCATATTGCTTTGTTTGGCCATTATTTACTTTACTGGTCTTTTGCTTATATTATTATAGTTCCTAACTTCTGTGGTTTTATGAGGGTGTGTGTGTGTGTGTGTGTGTGTGTGTGTGTGTGTGTGTGTGTGTGTGTTGCCCGTGCTTTTCTTTTTTATTTTTATTTGCTCACTTGTTTTCTAAAGAGGTAGATATTTTCGATAAAAAATAATAAGTGAAATATCTCAATTGCTTCAATGTCAAAAACTCAATAAAAGTGACCTGTCATAAAATCACTCAAGTGTGGAAATGACTAATATAAATAATACAAAAGTGATCAATTTAGGTGCTGATCTCAAATCTATAGTCATTACATTCTCTTGCAGAATAATTACATTCTCCTGCAGAACAATTAAGTACTAAAATGTAAATCAAGATTGAAATGTGAACACTTTCTCAGTGGCCTTTCTGGCCACAAAACAAAAACAAAAAGATCTTCAAAAACACACTATGACAAACAGTAACTTTAAAGGCTTTTACCTAAAAATTGTAGCTTGGAACAAGACTGTGTAGACTGGTTGTTCACTTGTATCAGATAAAGCGGAAAGGATATAACAGATCAAATAGTCTTGCCCTCTGATACAAGATCTTGACTTTATAAGAGAGAATTCTGAAAGGCTCTGACTCGTGTATGAAACAAGGTGACTGAAAAGTAGAGTGGAACATATCATGGAGACACTGACAGCTATGGGGGTTGTGATAAAATAAACACTGGAAAAAAAAGGAACATGAGAATCAAATTTAAAATAACAGAAAGTGCTCACTCTTGTCATCTACAATGCTGGATTTTATTTCCTTTTGATTTCAGCTATTTCAAGAGATCATTTTTTTAAAACAGATATTTTTAAAATACGAATACTTATGATGGGAGAAAGCTTTTAATTAAAAGGGAGAAAGCAAAGCAAAAGGATAAAAAAATATACATAATAGGGTTTTCATTCCCTTCCTAAGATGTATTTCCTAAAACATAAAAGTAAACATTTAGTACATGAAACTACCAGTTAAGATTAATAATAATTCAAAAACAGTCGTTATTTAAGTTCTTCAAATATCAAGTTCTTCAAGATACATAGTAGGAATGCACTTTTTGTTCCAACATCACATTATACAACAAAAGCCATATGCAGAAAAAAATTACTTTTTCTCTCTCATATACAGAAACTGAAGAAATGATTTTTTTTAAATAAAATAAAAAAAGACCTGGGTGTAGAAGACAGATGATTAGGGACTAAGAAAGAGCCAGGCAAGAAAGGATGAGATGGGAAAGAATGAACATAAGCAATGAATGATACTTCCATGCATAGAAAGATAATAATGAAACTCATTAATGTGTACAAATAATATGTAACAATCGTAAGAAAATGAAAAGAAAAATAAAGTTAGGTGTGCACTGAAATTTGGGGAAGGGGTAATCCTGAAGCATAATTTAACTCAACTAAAACTGAAACTGGTAACGAGAAATAGGATGCTGCAGTATTGCAAAACTAAGTGGGAAGGAGATTATGATTAGCAGCAGTGGTTTAAAAAAATTAATGTCAGTAATGGTCTGATTTTTGTTTTAACAGAAGTATGCAGGACAACATTAGTAGTGTGTAGACTGAAATGAAAAGGAGTAAGAGCTCAGTTCTTGCATATAGGAATCATAAGGTTGAGGAAACAGCTATTTCAAACCTCAGCAACAGAAGACAAAAAGCTTTGAATGACAAAAACCAGTCAAAATTCTGCTCCATAGTATGAATCAATTAAGATTCCTTTAAAATATTTTATTAACTTTGCTATAAGAATAATTAAGATCTGTGCATATGTGATGTTTGTCTCAAAACAAGAGGTGAAATGATAGAACACATTAAATCTCATATTTGAATGCAATTATTTCATGGAAAAGTTTATGGATCCTTCACCAGGACTTGATATACTAAAAGTACTTGGAATCAAGTAGGAGATGAATAAAGCAAAGCAAATCTTAAGAGCATCTAATCTATAAAAAAGAATAATCACTATGGCTCCTGATATACAAAAATCTAAATAATCTCTCAGCTTAAAAAAAAAAAAATCATGAGCCAAAAACTAAATTTGTGCAAGTAAACAAAATAATTATTGGGTCAACCAGCGGTGGCACATGCCTTTAATCCCAGCCAAGTCTACACAGAGAAAAAACCCTGTCTCAAAAAAACTAAAAAAAATACAAAAATAAAAACTAATAATTTTCGTATCTCCAATTTTCTTTAGGATGTAGGATGCCCAGGTATGGTGTCACTTGCCTTTAATCCCAGCACTCAAGAGGCAAAGGCAGACAGATCTCCGTGAGTTCAAGGACAGCCTGTTTTACACAGTAAGTTTCAGGTCACCAGAGCTATATATTAATACCCTGTCCCAAAACAAATAAGAAAACCAAAACAATGTAGGATGCAAAAGCCACTCACTTTCTAAGGAAAACTTCAATTCTGACTTCCAATCAATTCCTACTTCAAATATGGCCAAGGGAAAGAAAACTTTGGAATCATTAACTAAGAGTCCCAGGGTGGTCTCCTTATGTAGCATAGAGGCCAACAATACAATGTATAGCCTCAAAAATCTCAGAAATGCTACAGATCAGTAATTTTTTTCTTGTATATTCCTATATTCTTACCTGGAATTTTATTACAATTTTTTATCTACTCCATGACTAAACTGGACTGGAGGCATGGTATAAAGACTTTATTTTTAGTTTTAGACTTGCAAGAAGATTTTATATAGAATGGACACAGTATGTACTTATTATCCAAAAATAATGGGCTTTGCATTTGGTTTCAATGAGTGGCACTTACAGGTTGCCTCTTAGAGTAAAAGGAGGAGACAACACTGAACACAGTTCTTATTCTTAGTCCTATCAAAGTATTTCCAACTTTCTGCTTTCTAGACACGGATAGGCTTTAGTGGGATCTGCTCTGGTAAGTGAAATGAAAAGGAAAATGGTTAAGTGTCCACTCCGGTGCCAGTATATCACTTAGTTTCTTGCAATCATGAATGCCGGCCCCATCAGAGTCCCTAAGCAAGCTCTCCCACAGGCCTCCACTGTGCCAAAACTATACAGTATGTTACCTACCAGGTTTGCTGTAGATACAGTTGTTGTATATACACTTGAAGTTTCATAGCCTTGATCTAGAGGATAAAGCCAAAGTAAACATTTTTAAAAATGAGCATTATTTTAGTCTGATATTCCATAAACAATGAAGAATATCAAATTAAATCTCAATCTCACTGACCTGAAGAATAAAGATAATCTCCATATCCTCCTAGAAAAGAGAAATATGTATACACATATCTTTTTAACCTGGCAGAGCAAAATGGCTGGTAACTGCATTTTCTTTCTTCAAAACTAAAATGCATACATGATTGAAAATGATTTGAATCTTCCTAGTAGGCAACAGAAGACAAGGTAAGCTGTCAACAGTACAAATTTCTGCTCAAAAGTCCATTAGGACTGAAGACTATTTCCCTCTATCTATAAGTAGCAGAGACAATGTTAGAAGTATCTTATTAATAAAGTCACTCAAAATGCCTCACACTTCCTTCCTACATAATTGTCCAGAATTGTTTCAATAATAATGAATCATTGACTGGTACACAGTAAAAATAAATACTCAAGAAAAGTAGTTATATTAAGTATAGACAGCTTCAGAGACAAATCTTAGTTTGGGTATATATGAGGAATGGGGTGTCTTTGGGGGATGATGAAATTGTAGAGCTGATTATGTGAATTCACACACACAAAGAAACAATGAATTGTACACTTTGAGTAAAAAAATATTTTGGTATGTAAACTTTATCTCAATTAAATTAAACATGTGTCTGTGCCATTAGCAAGAGTATAGCCTTTGCCATATTATCAGATTTTGAACCTCAATTTCCTTGCATATAACACAGGGATGCCGTATTTCCCATAATACCATAAGGACTGCTGTTAAATTATAATCATTTACTAGAATGGATAATATATATAGCATTCAATAAATGTTAAAATGCTTTCAATTCAAGTAAGAACTCTTTGGGTTATGTGGGCTCTGGGATTTGAGCACAGGTCCTCTTGTTTGATTGAAGCATCTCACCATCCCTAATCTTACACTTTTTTTTTTTTTTCAAAAAAATCGTATTTCCAAGTTCTGATGTACAAATGCCACAACAATCATCTACTCAAATATTACTAAGCACTAATTGACTCACCATTCTCACACTGGTCATTGCTGTCTTCTGAATTCAAAGTTGGTTTACATGAGTTATAGCCCTGACTTGCAACACAGTATCCTGAAGTAACAGGAACCATTGTAGGGGGAACACCATTGTTCTGTACCAAAGAAAGACATATATACATGGAATTCTTCCTCTATTAGTCAGAGAAAAGGTTGGAAGGATGTTCTAAAAGTCAGTTAATGAAATTAAATTTTGAGTTAATACTCTATGTGGCTATTTTAATGCTGTAGAACCCAAAACAAGTGCAGCAATAAAAGAAAATGTTAGTTCACATATAAACCAAACTGTCTAAATCAATCTTCTCAGTAGCAGCTCCAAAACATCTCTTCTTAACTTTAAGGCTTCAAGGTGATGGCTTCATATTTTTTAAGGATTTTACTAAGTTGTTCATGCAAAAAAAAATGTTAAAATTAGGGCTGAGGATGTAGTATAGAGGTAGAATACTTTACATATGCAAAGTCTAGTTTTACTCCTTGGGTTGGGATTGAGGTAGAAATCATATATATAACATTCCTCTAAACAGCCTTTAAAAAAAAGAAACAACTTTTTCAGTGACCATTTCACCCACTTACAGGTAAAGTTGAATAAGCAGTCTCATTCCCTTCTTCAAGTGCATAAAATGTAACAGTTTCTTCTACTCCATTCTCTGGAGCAAAACCATACTGGCATTCCTTATTCATGCAATGCATCTGACGGTGGCTACGCCTAAAAGATCTTAAGTTTGGAAATCAAAATGGGGAAATAAGTTAACATATGGCAGTAATTTGCTTCTAATTTCCCAGTGAAAGTCAAGTATCTCAAAACAAATGTTTTCGGGTTTAATTTACATGCATGGGTATTTTGCTTGCATGTATATCTGTACATGGTGGGTGTCTGGTGCCTACAGAGAGACCAGAAGATCCCCCAGAACTACAATTACAGATGGCTGTAAGCTACCAAGTGGGTCCAGAAGAACAGCCAATGTTTTTATTCCCTAAACTATCTCTCCAGCCCCCAAACTGAGGTTTGAGAAAGATGGTGCACATTATCATTGCTAAGCAATAAAACCACACACACCAATATTTTCCTCAACTTTTAATACTTCAAATATTTACCGAGACCTATAGGAGACATTATCATAGCTCTGGCAGCACCTTCTACCTGGGCCAGGGTAAAACCCAACTTTAGGATTTGGCATGTTTTGCCTGTTTATTAAGTGAGACGAATCCCTAAGAATAAAAAAAACAAACAATTATTTAACTCTTGAAAGTCTCAATAGTTAAGTAGAATTAACATAGTTCTCTGAAAACATTCCACTAGAAAGACTTTTGCAATGGTGTTGGGCCTATCCAATATTAAGGGAGACAGAGGCATATTTCATACAGACACTTGCTTCTGATGGGATTCTATCTTTAAGCGTCTCCAGCATTTCACATTTCTGTAGATAATGAAAATATAATTATGCCAATGGATGACAAGGATAAGTATGTATCAGCTCTATGTTCTCTTTTGGCATAAACTATAGAAGTTGTATCTGCCAATTATACTGTAATTCAGTGTAGGAGTTATTTCTAAAAACCAAAACAAAGACATACATTATCATGAAAATCAGTTAATTCTTACCTGGGCATCCCATATCCCCGACCTTGTCTTTGAGATGAATGCTGAGGGTGGAAATGTTCACTAGACATAATATGGCCAGCTGTCTGTGAGTAGTACAATAATGGATCATGCCCAAAATGCATATTGTGCTGAATCCTGGGTGGGACAAGTGGGTCTCCTCTGCTATAAGCCATGGTCATATAAACCTCTTTCCCTCGAACTTTTTTGAACATCTTCTTCCGTTGCTTCATGGTCATCTCTGTCATAACTTTCAGAAAACAAATACAGTAAATAACCATTATAACCAAAGTAAAAGGCTATGTTCCTCTACCCTTATCATACCTTAAAACTGTCAGATACTTTTAAGTATAAGGTAGAATACTTCATCTAGCAACTGGAAGGGCCAAAGAAACAGTTCATTTCTACATTGATGGGTGTTTAAATACTCAGTATTTCAACCCTCTCTTTAGTACTTGCAGATTTGGTCATCAAAAAATAGAGTTATCTAGTCACCTACATAATTATGTTGAATACATCTGGTTGCTCTTAAGAGACGTCTTCCTAGTTCTTTGAAAAATATTTAAAATCTGTTTAAGCTTAAATTTATATGGGGTCATCTAGAAAGTGATTTCACAATCAAAGACAATTTTGTCACCTCCCTCCTACAGAGTACATCTATTAATGTCCAAAGACAATTTTATTGTTACAACTAGGCAAAAGAGGCTATTAGCATCTATGGTGCAGACACCAAGGATCAACCTAGATAGAATAAGTATACAGGATAGCCCTTTCCTATCCATTAAGGCATTAGCTGTCCTAACACAGTAGTGTGCAAGAAATGTTACTCTACAACAGGACATATGGTATACCTTTAAAAAGTACAGTGTATGTAAATTAACTATAATAGAAAAAAAAAAGAAAGAAAAACATTCAGGATACAAACCCATTTCCGGGAAATAGCCTCCACGTATAGCCTGGTAACCTCCTCTTCCTTTACGAGTTGGCATAGTATTCCAGGAAGGAAGAAGTGCCACTTGGTTGACTGGTTTTACATTAGCCAGCGGAATTGTATGCCTTGAAATGAAAGATATCATGAAGCCATTATAACACACACTTACTTAGCTCTCATTCAGTAAACAAATGTAGCTTTCCTACTTCAGTTTTAAGCACATTTCTTTTTTCTGTTTTTCTTGGAGACAAGGTCTCAATATGTAGCCTTGGCTGGCTTGGAACTCACTACATGGACCAGGCTGGCCTCAAAGATTTGCCTCGTCACCCTCCTGAGTGTTAGAAATAAGACATGTGCCACCACCACTGACTCAAGTGCATTTTCCTTAAATCTGTTATACTACCTTCCTATACATTTGGTTTTTTTTCCATTTAGCTTAGATAATCTAAATGTAGTTTATATAATTTCACAGCTGTTTATAATGTCTATCACATCCAGAAGAAATATTATAGTAGATTGTATTACTCACAAAAATCTGCTTCCTTTCCATGAAAGAGGGTATTTCCTAACCAGACTTACATAAGATTTCAGTATAAAAATTACACTTACTTTGACCAACTAAAAAGTGAATTACGAGTATCAAATATTATGTCATGGTCTCAGTTTTTCCTAATCTGTGATCATGAAAGCATGTTTCAAAACAAAGCTTTTAGGCTGAATCTACTACCAGTTGAAGGCCAGCTTGCACAACTAGTTAGACTCTTTCTCAAAATAAAAAATAGTAACATACAAATATTGAACAGGTAATATATTTAGGAATACATACACACATGTGCATGTAACAATTAATGAAAAATGGTGATGAGAGAAAGTATATGAGAAGGTTTAGAGGGAGAAAAGGGAAGGGGAAATTATGTAATTATATTGTCATCTCAAAAAAATTTTTTTAAGTAATAGCAAGGGTTGGGGAAGACAGCCAGTTAAAGTACTTATCTAACAAGTCCAAGCTCCCAGGTTTAATCCACAGTACCAAAACGAACAAAAAGCAAAGACTGGTTATGCTTTCTTACCTCACACATTACAGACATGCTAAATGAGGGAGAAATTAACTTTATTGTTTTAAGCAGCTGAGATTGTGTTGCTAGGTCAATTTACCATAGTTAATGTGTCTTAAACTGAACCACTAGCATTAGCATAACATGGAGGCTAGTGGAAAACTCAAATTCTTGGGCTCTACCTTAAAATTATTGCATGAGAAATATATAAGAGTGGGCTCAGTTTGTTTGCAAAGCTCTTGATGCAAATCGTGAAAAGTAAGGGAATAACTATGTGGTAGTTTGAATGTAATTGGCTCCCATAATCTCATAAGGAGTGGCACTATTAGGAGGTGTGGACTTGTTGGAGTAGGTGTGGTCTTGTTGGAAGTGTCACTGTGGATGTGGGTTTTGATGTCTCACATATGTTCAGGCCAAGCTTAGTGAGAGAGATCACTTCCTGTTGTTGCCTACTAGATCAAGATGTAGCAGGCCTCCTCCAGCATCATGTTTGCCTGCATGCCACCATGTTCCCCCACCACTATGATAATAGACTGAACCTCTGAAATGTAAGCCGCCACCTCAATTAAATGTTTTCATTTGTAAGAGTTGCCATGGTCATGGTGTCTCTTCACAGCAATAGAAACTAAGACATATTGGCAGAAACTCAACAAATGACCTTTCAAATTATCATGAATATTTTTATATCAAAATTCTGTTGGATTTGATGTATCAAATAAAATGGCCAATTCCTTGACTCTGATATTTTACTCTTCAACATTTACTTTTATTAATTAAAATAATTAAATCAGCAGATACAATTCTGGTTCGCTTCAATTAGCACCCTGGTAAATCCCAATTTAATGAATAAGCACCTATCAAATTTAATTACTATACAGTCTTACCTTTCTGCCAATTCTTCAATGAAAACTATTACTGAGTTTTTATCATTTTCAATTTCTTGAATATGAGCATTATAATATTTTCCATCTGGCTCCAAGCAAACCTAAAAGACAGGAAATAATAGTCACATATTAATTCATCTGGTCTTGTCCACTGACAAATCTGTATTTAGCCAAACAACCATTTTTCTCCAAATGTAATTCAATGTCTACTTTTTTAAAGTAACTGAGATCATGGCTAGTCTGTGAGGCCTATATCAGCTTACATCTAATTATCACAAGTCTGTAATTAAAATTTACCACAATACAAACTATGAAATCTTTATTTTAGCGTTTTGTTGTTGTGTTGGGTATCCAGTGGAGAATATCAGACATGCTGGCCAAGTATTTTATCACTGAGTTCTCATCCCTTGTTTTATTCAGACAAGGTCTTGGTATAGCTAAAGCTCAGCCAACCCTGAATGTATAATTCTCCCTCCCAAGCTTCCTGAGGACTAGGATAACAGACACATATCACTATGCCCAGGATGATCAACTCATGTTAATTGATTAAAAGTACAATCTTGAGCCGGGTGGTGGTGGCACATGCCTTTAATCCTAGTACTCGGGAGGCAGAGGCAGGCGGATCTCTGTGAGTGGATCTCTGTGGTCTACAGAGCGAGATCCAGGAAAGGCGCAAAGCTACACAGAGAAACCCTGTCTCAAAAAACCAAAAAAAAAAAAAAAAAAAAAGAACAATCTTGGAGAAACAAAGTATTATCTTTAAAGAAGGAACTAACCTGACACTTGTCCCCTAAATAGTAATGTCTTCCAGCATACTCCATACACTCTGATTTCTGAAGTTCTATTAAAAGAAACAGATAATTAAAGCGTCATTTAATTGAATCCTTTCTTACCACACATTATTTGATTACCGCATTTACTTTAACACAGTGTATTTGATGATGCTGTCAGTAGAAGAAAGAAATGTCCCAAAGGGCCATTCTAACACCCTTGATGGGATATTTTACTATGGTCAATTTATTAAACAGACCTGTCAGAATAGTTCGGCACTTTAAAGCACAGTTAAATAGAAATTTGTAGTTTTAGATTTCATTAAACATAAAAGTCATAATTTGAATTTAATACCAAGAAGGCTCACGCACATGTATATATACATTTATACCAAGAAGGCTCATGCACATGTGTGTATGCATTTATAAGAATTTCTTTTACTTATGTTATACAAGGTCTTAACTTCATTCTAATTAACTATACTGAATTCAAAGTTCAAAGAGTGGAATATGAGACATTATCCCCTGTGGGCAGTATATCGAGGTCTAGTTTGCTGAATTCAGTTATATAATCTACAGAAAACAATAATCTACACTAAGAGTTATTTTTACAAATATATTCTAAGAGGCAGGTGGATCTCTGTGAGTTTGAGGACAGCCTGGTCTACAGAGCGAGTTCAAGGACAGGCTCCAAAGCTACACAGAGAAACCCTGTCTCAAAAACCAGAAAAAAAAAAAAAAGGAAAAACAAATATATTCTATAAAAAGCCAAACAGTAAATTTTAGATATTCTGAGCCAAACTTTCTAAATTAACTAGTTCTCCACAGGTAAAAGCAGATGAGGGCACTCGTCACTGAACACTCAAAATTTGTCCTCTAGACTAGGTGGTAGTTGTACACGACTTTAGTTCCAGCACTCTTGAGGTAGAGGCAGGGGATCTCTGAGTTCAAGGCCACCCAGCCTGGTGTACAAAGCAAAAGTTTCAGGAAAGAAAACCCGTCTCAGAAAAGCAAAAAAAAAAAAAAAAGAGTGAACAAATTTGTCTTTCCACACAATGCACCAATGCACCATAGCACCATAGTATATAGATATGAACACAAAAAAATGAACAAATGTAATTAATAAAAGTATTCCATTCTCTTAAAAATTTTAATGAACATTGAGGTTTGAATTATGTAATTTTCCCTGCAACTTAAAAATGCAAAGACCTGCCAGGTGGTGGTGGTGCACTCAGCACTCAGGAGGCAGAGGCCAGCCTGGTCTACAGAGTGAGTTCCAGGACAGCCAGGGATGTTACACAGAGAAAACCTGTCTCTTAAAAAAAAATAAATAAATAATAAAAATAAAGATGCAAAGATCATTCTCAGCTCACGGACCAAACAAAAATATGTGAGGAGTCAGATTGCAAGCATTATTCTAACCTATTTAGCAATCAACATAACCATAATACTTAAATTTCAAATGAGTTTATTCTAGTCACTAAACATCCACTGTACTCTTGAAGTTATCTACAGGCTCTCTCTGTATATCATTGCAGTTTTAGTCCCAGGTAAACATGTAGCTCCATTTAAAATCGACTTTTCATCAGATTTAAATCACATATAGGAAAACAAATAGTAAGTTAATTTGGTCTCATTTTTTATAAACAATAGTGTGGTAGTTTGAAATGTAATTGGACCCCATAATCACATAGGGAGTGGCACTGTTAGGAGGTGTGTCCTTGTTGGAGTAGGTGTGGTCTTGTTGGGAGGAAGTGTGTCACTGTGGAGGCGGGTTTGAGTTCTCATGTATGCCAGCAGCACGCCCAGTGAGACAGATCACTTCCTGCTATTGCCTGCTAGATCAAGATGTAGCAGCTCCTTCTCCAGTACCATGTTTGCCTGCATGCCACCATGACAATAATGGATTAAATCTATAAACTGTGAGCCACGCCAATTAAATATTTTCCTTTATAGGAGGTACAGTGGTCATGGTTGCTCTTCACAGCAATAGAAACCCTAAGACAAACTGTTTGATGAAAACATGTCTTCTAAGAAATAACTTAAAATATGATCTCCTTTATCTATCAGGATTCAGTGGTATCCTGCTGATATTTTATTACCTTTTCTACCGTCCAACCAAGCATCAAATTCTATATTGCGATAGATTTCTGGATCCAGAGCTTTCAGCACTTTATAAGGAAAGAGCATCTTCGATGGATTTTCTGGAAACTGAAACAAACAGTCATGCTATAAACTCTTTTCTTCTTTTAAAAATTGTACATAATTCCACCTTACGATTGTTATTAAATACCATCAAGAGACTAAAAGAACACTGATGTAAAATCAAGTAGACTTTATATATAGAAATAGTTCCCCTGTTTCTTCAACATTAAGAGATGACGTTTAGCACTAAATTTCATAATTACAGGCCACTTGAAAAAAACAAAGCAACATCAGAATATTGGCTACAAATTAAATATTTATTAAATTTGTATTATTACTTTAATTTCAAATAAAAGCTTCTCAAATGCCTTAAGTGTTCAGAGTTAGTTTTGAAAATTTGATTACTTCTTATGAATAAAAATTCTTGCCAGGCGGTGGTGGCGGCGGCGGCGCACACCTTTAATCCCAGCACTCGAGAGGCAGAGCCAGGCGGATCTCTGTGAGTTCAAGGCAAGCCTGGTCTACAGAGCAAGATCCAAGAAAGTTGGAAAGCTACAGAGAAACCCTGTCTCGAAAAACCAAAATAAATAAATAAATAAATAAAAATAAAAATTCTCACAAAATACAGTATTTTACATTTTAGACTAGTAGGATTTCCACAAAGGAAAACATGAACTTCTATAATAAGAATGGACTTTCTGGTTTAATTATTTTAAATTATGGTGCTCTAAGACAAGTATATGAACATTCTCTGCCTAAGAAAAAAATATCAAACCTTTAGTTCTTCTGTTCCTTGCTTACTGCCTTCTGGTGTACCTTCGACACTGGAGCAGGCACCCAACTCTTCGATTCTGATTTGAAAGATTCAGAGAAAATCACATTATATAAATGCAGCAGTTACTTGTCTGATGTCTCACAACTAGTCATACCACTCAGTGGTTAAGTAGCTCAATTCTGAAAAATCAAGCAAGTTAAGTTTTCAACACATCCTCATTGGGTTTCTTATGTTAAGTATGTGTTAAAAAAGTACTTAGCAGATCATTTCCTATTAAGGTCCTGTGATCCTAACTCAATGTTCACAGTTTCTGATTCCTCTGCTTCTGATTCCTCTGCCATGAGACTGCTTTAAATCATAGAGAACTTATATAATTACATTACAAACATATAAGCACACACCCCATAGTGCCCACCCATCTCGATGGTCTCTTTTTCCTGCTGCCAGTAGGAATGTTAAGTAGACACTTTCACCAAGCTGAGGTTAGGTCATTCCTCCTACTACCCAACAATAACAAAACAACAAAAGTAAAGCTATCAGCCAAGTAGTTGGAAAGAATTAAATGCTATGAATCTTGAATGTTCCAGTTAAGAACTCCGTCTTGACCAGCTCCTTCATTACAGTCTTGTGACATACTTAACATAAGTATAAGCTAAGCCATGGCATGATTTCTAAACCATATGAACTATAATTTCAACATGTTGGTTTTTTTTTTTTTTTTTTTTTTTGGTTTTTTGAGACAGGGTTTCTCTGTGTAGCTTTGTGCCTTTCCTGGAGCTCACTTGGTAGCCCAGGCTGGCCTCGAACTCACAGAGATCCACCTGGCTCTGCCTCCCGAGTGCTGGGATTAAAGGCGTGCACCACCAACGCCCGGCAACATGTTGTTTTAAGCTGGCAATTTTGTAGTATATTGCCTTTCAACTACTGTAGCTTCCATAAACCCAAATCAGCAAAGAATGAATGCAATCATCACTTGGAAAAAACTGTTGCTACTCCTCATACTCCCAAATAAGCTTTAAAAATATTCTTCTGATGGTTCAGTGGGTGCAGGTACTAGCTACTAAGCCTGATAACTGACCTGGGTGTTATTGTCTTCTTAAAGCAGATTCTTTTTTTTTTTTTTTTTTTTTTTTTTTTTGGTTTTTCGAGACAGGGTTTCTCTGTGTAGCTTTGCGCCTTTCCTGGAACTCACTTGGTAGCCCAGGCTGGCCTCGAACTCACAGAGATCCGCCTGCCTCTGCCTCCCGAGTGCTGGGATTAAAGGCGTGCGCCACCACCACCCGGCGTTAAAGCAGATTCTTAAACCCAACCTGACCTCAAATTTTATGACAGGAAGCCCAGAAATCTGTCTAATCAAAATGATTAACTTGGATCCAACTAAATTTTGAGAAATGCTAATTTCAAAATCTCCTCTAGAAAATAAAAAGATTACAACTTTAACTGAACTCTATTAAGTCTGAGCATTTCACAATACAATTTGGTAAAACTTTTGTCTTCCAATTAAAAACAATATATATCCCTAACATACATGCATGTGCCTATATGTAATCAGGCTATTTCTACTTTCAGATGCAAACTCAAAGAAATATGAAAATAATAGAGTTGACAACCCTTTTCTTTTAGTACCTATCCTGAGTTGAGCTCTTCTGATCAGTGCTGCCTTCCACAATGCCAGTCAAAGCGTTGTTTCTGTTTCTCCTGGAACCACTTCGAAACAAACTAACTGCAGTTTTCAATGTTTCTTCATCCACAACAAATACATCTTTATAAAGAATTTCATATAATATAGCTGAAGGAAGAAAAAGAACCAAAATCCCAATTGTCAAAATAAGACTCTTCATAATGATGTGAAAACCATTCATAACCCAGCAGTTTAAAGACAGGTAACAAATCTTCTGAAATCACACTCATACATTTATAAAGTCCTTAATATACCTTGGCAAATTCCTGCAGTTGATTGAAATTCTTTTGAGTACACAGAATCATAATGGCCATTATTTGAGTAACAGAGAAGAATCTGAAGAAAAACAAATAGAATAATTATGTTATTGTTAACATATCTTACAGTCATAAAATTAGGTTGGCAATCAGCAGTTGATAAGGAATTTTCTTCTTAAAAGACATTTAACAGATCTAGAATTAAGAAGCTACGTAGCTCAAACAGAAATTTTAACTATGACTTTTCTATATCAAGATTGAAAATACCTACGGTTACACTGTGAGCCTCAATCACATCCCTGAAATTCACTAAGTAAGTCCTGACTGATGGATTTGTATTAAGATAGGAACATTCACAAATTCAATTGCTGAACACAACAGAAAACCTAACAAATGTTGGAAGTCTGATCTTAATGTCTCAGGATGACTGGAGAAATTATATAAAATATTCCGCAATCCAAATATCCAAAATTTAGACAGGAGGGAAAAAAAGGAGAGATATCAGACAATTTGTTCAAAAGGCTAAAAAAAAACATCACTGCAGTGAATAGAAATGTTAAGGCTACAATAATGTAGAAAGGGCACAGTGCTACAGAACAAAGGGTTAACTTCTTAGCTGATTCCTTAACAACCTAGGTTTTTAGAAAACAATTCCAGGGCCATGTTTATTAACTAAAACTTTTCAGTAAATATTTCCTTTGATGAAATTTGTTCATTTAACAGCTATAAACATTTTTAAAATTTTTGCTCAAAATTCTGTTTTCAGCTGGGCAGTGGTGGCACACAACTTTAATCCCAGCACTCAGAAGGCAGAGGCAGATGGATCTCTGTGAGTTTGAGGCCAGCTTGGTCTACAGAGTGAGTTCCAGGATAGCCAAGTCTGTTACACAGAGAAACCCTGTCTCAAAAAACAAAACAAAAACAAACAAAAACCTGTTTTGAATCAAGCACGAGTGAAAGAGCAATTTCAAGTGAAAACCAAAAACTATCTCATGTAGGGATGCAGTTTAGTCATATATCACTTGTCTAGCATTCTCAAAGTCCTAAGTTCAAATCCCAGCAACCAACCACATGGTGGCTCAAAACCATCTGCAGTGAGATCTGATGCCCTCTTCTGGTTTGCAGACATACATGCAAGCAGAACATTATATACATAATAAATAAATAAATAAATAAAATAAATCTTTAACAAGGCACTTGCTGTCAAACCCAAGTTCAATCCCCAGAACCCACACAGTAGGAAATGGAGCCTGTGTCATTTTATGTTTCTCTCTCCCTAACGCCTTCTCTCCTATCTCTCTCTCTCTCTCTCTCTCTCTCTCTCTCTCTCTCTCTCTCTCTCTCTCTCGTTTGTGTGTGTGTGTGTGTGTGTGTGTGTGTGCGCGTGTAGCAATAAAACTGTAATTAAAAAGAACGAACAACAAATCATGGAGAAAACTGAAGAGGAGTGATGATAGACCAAGATGGAATAGGGATCCCTTATACTCATCATTGGTGGGAATGTAAACTAGTGTAGACAGTAATCACTATGGAGGCTCTTCAAGAAAACAAGCATGAACCAAATTAGCACTACTGGGAATAGACCTGAAGGGATCTAGGTAAGCATATATATAGAGTTGTATACATCCATGATTACTGCAACTAGTTGCATCTAAGCATCCTTGTGGTACATATAATTTTTATTCAATCATAGAGAACAAATTTACTATCATTTTAAGAAAAAGGAAAAAAATAGGATGTGATATTAGGTGAAATAAACCGTACTCGAATTATCACATGTTCTCTTTTACGTGTAGAATCTGGTTTCTATACATATATGAATATATGCACATAAAAACAGAAAGACTACTTAGGAAGTAGAAGGGAAGGCAAGAGAAAGTAAAGAAGGTAAAAATGGTCAATGTAGATGATGTTCTTAAATAAAAATGTCATTATTGAGCCGGGCAGGGGTGGCACTTGCCTTTAGTCCCAGTACTCAGGAGGCAGAGCCAAGTGGATTTCTGTGAGTTCAAGGCCAGCCTGGGCTACAGAGTTAGTTTCAGGAAAGGTGCAAAGCTACACAGAGAAAAACCAAAAAAAAAAGAAAAAAAAAGTCATTACTGAAGCCATCACTTTGCACAATGAATATAATCCTTAGTAATTCTCACAGCCATATCTGAAATCAATAACCTGAGTTACTAAAGATGATTTTGTGACGTTTTGAGAATGTTGCCACCAAGCTTCCTTAAAAAATTTCTTAAGCACTTTTTGTTTTTTCTACCTTGCTACACTACCCTGATATAACTTCTACCAATAAGTAAATTATCTGAACCCAGGGCCATTTGCCTTTCCTATACTTTTTTTTTTTTTTTTTGCTCAGAATACCAACTAACTTTGTCATTATAATTCATTTCAGGGTATTGAGGGCAACTATCAAGCTAACATAGCAATAAAGAATTACGAATATGGGTTCACTGACCAGAGAGGATATTTACATTTAAGAGGTTTATTAACAGAAGTCCTTTGTACTTTGGTCTACAAATACTCAGATTTTCAACTAAGAAAGGTTAATAATTGGAAGCAATTAAGGAGTAAAGGAACCTAGACAACCAAAACTGATGATGAATAAACAGAAGTTCTAATAGAAAGAAGATTCCAATTTTTCTATTACAAAACAAGGCATAACAGTTTTTGTATTCTCGGTGGTCAGTAGGCCAAAATAAAACAATTCACTAATAAACCTTCTGGATAGTGTAGGGTTTTTTGAGTGGGTAGGATGTGTAATCAGTGAAAGCATAGGATAAATCTCTATTACTGGTAATACATGACTGAAAAGAAAAATAATCTTAAAAATGAGCCTAACTAGGTATAGTGGCACATGCCTTTAATCCCAGTACATGAGAGGCAGAGGCAGGCAAACCTGTGAGTTCAAGGCCAGCCTGGTCTACACAGTGAGTCCTAAGACAGTCAGGCTTCAGAGACCCTGTCTCAAAAGAAAAATGTAGAAAAATTAATGTAAATGCAAAGAGAATGATAAAAAAAGATACATACAAATACTTAATATTTGAAGAGTATGAATGAAGTCTATATATTCTAGATATATTTTACTTTGTTTTCAATATATGCCATTCTACTTTTTCTATAAAGAGCTTGTGTGGTCAGTGATCATGGATATTTTTTAGTAGCATTCACCTTGATATTGAATACATTTAGGAAAAGGAAAATAAATATATAGAATCCAGAGGTAGGTCAACATAAAAGGTAAAAATATAGGTGAACAACAGTGGGCATCTTTGAAAGTTTGCGCTTAATTCTATCTTCAAGGGTTCATTAATAACATCCATTAGCTGGACTAGGGATGTGGTTCAGTCAGTAGAATACATGCCAATCATGCATGAAGCTGAGTTGGATCCTCAGCACTACAAAAACTGACCAGGTATAAAGACATATACCTATACTCCCAGAAGGTGGAAGGTGGGGGCAAGAGAATCAAAAGTTCAAGGTCATCTTCAATCTTCAACTATATAGTGAATTTGAAATCTGTGAGACCCTACCAAAAAAAAAAAACAAAAAACAAAAAACAAAAACCACCTTATGGCGCCCGTGAGATGGCTCAGAGTTTAAATGTGCTTATAGAGCAAGCTTGACAATGTGAGTTCAATCCCTAGACCCATGACGTTGAACTGATTCTCAAAAGTTGCCCTCTTACCTTTAAGGCTGCCCCCTTAACATGCATACACATATATATACACACACCCCTGCACTCACAAACATACACACACCACACACAATAATAATAATAATAATTTTTTAAAAATGAAAACTAAATAATCTCACACTAAGAAGGTAAAGGCAGGAGGATCTCTGTGAGTTCGAGGCCAACCTTGTCTACATATTAAGTTCCAGGGTAGACAGGGCAACATAGAGAGATCCTTTCTCATAAACAAACTAACTAAACAAAACAAAACACCTAAGTAACGCCCAACTCTAATAAAATCATTTTTGAAAACTCAAGAAGCTCAAATACAAATCTTACAGAGTCTGGGGCTAAAGGTGTCTCTCATATGTACAGTACTTGCTGACCATGTAGGATGACCTGGCAACTACAGAACCACAAGAATAAGTAAATAAATTTAGAGTGTCAGCGTAACTAGAATACATAAGACCTTAGGTCTGATTCTCGTTTTCTCCCAGAGACACACCAAAAAAAAAAAAAAAGAAAAAAAAGAAAAACACAAAGCAAGACAGTGTTTTACTTTGTTCCTGTTCATCAAAGGAAATATTTACCCCAATTCCTTGTCTCAAAATATAACACTGAGCCATAACAACACAAATTATGGTACTGACACAAAGACAAACAGCTTGATGGATTAAAAGACCTAGAAATAAATCCACAATGCTACAACTATCAAATTTCTGACATGTGTTAAAAACTAGATCATAAATTGATGCCTTGTCCAATTGTCAAAGAGGCTTGATCCAGCAAAGTGAAGGAAACAGATGCAGAGACCCACAGCTAAACACTGGGCAGAACTCGGGGAATCCTGCTGAAAGGAAGGAGGAAGGATTGATTATAGGAGCAAGAGACATCAAGGACACTACAAAAAAACCCACAGAATCAACTAACCTGGGCTCATAGGGGCTCACAGAGACTAACCTGACAACCAGGGAGCCTGCATGGGACTAACCTAGGCCCTCTACACATAAGTGACAGTTGTGTAGCTTGATCCTCCTGTGGGCCACATCTCTTCTTATGGAGTGATAAGAACAATCTGTTTAAAAGATAGCTAATACCAATGAGGATGACAGACTAGAGAGGAAAAGGCTGCCAGCAAAAAAATATTACCAGTTAGACAATGTTTATTAGGTGACTCAGGAGCACAATGGTACCACATTGGGCTTCAAGACGAGGTTTACTGTTTCAATAATTAGGTCAAAAGGATTATTTCTTAATATTGTGGTAAACCAGCAGCATAATTTTTTTTTTTTTTTTTTTTTTTGGTTTTTCGAGACAGGGTTTCTCTGTGTAGCTTTGCGCCTTTCCTGGAACTCACTTGGTAGCCCAGGCTGGCCTCGAACTCACAGAGATCCGCCTGCCTCTGCCTCCCGAGTGCTGGGATTAAAGGCGTGCGCCACCACCGCCCGGCTCCAGCAGCATAATTTAAATTCACTTTCTTACCTTGTCTTCAAAGCCATTATCTGTGACATGTGTTGGTGGCTTTCCAGGATATCGATAAAGAATGAAATCTCGACTACAGGTAGAAAAGAAACGTAGGTGGGAAGAGATTATTTAGTATATACATAAGATAGTTATAACTATAAGGCCCTTAGGTAGCCTTTAAAGCTCTTCCTAACTTCCCCATAAAATTTTAATATTAAAATATAATGTGACCATTTGAAGGATCATCCAACTACTGCAGCTTCTAAAAATTATTTGCTATAATTTTACAATAGAAATGACATTGCCCTAATGACAATATATAACAAAAATGTTAAGCACTTAGAAGTTTTAAAAAAGATAGCTATCCTGATTTCCTACTTGAAATATTACCAGTTCAGTCTCTTAGTTTGTCTTGAGACAGGATCTTGTTGTGTATCCTAAGGTGATCTTGAACTCAAGATTGTCTTGCCTTAGCCTCCCTTACTCAGTTCTAGTATTATAGGCATGTCCCAGCACACCTGGCTTCCATTTAATCTTCCTTTCAAAGAGACACAAATTCTAGGACAGAAATAGTAATAAGGTTCTTCACCCAAGAACTGTAACAAGTGGACTTTGCTCAGGCCTTTTCCTTCTACATTATTAACTTATCAATGCTCAAATTTAACCAGTCCTAGAGGGACGCTGACAGAAATCTTACTTATACACAGTCCTTCTCACTATATTCATATATTCCCTCTTTCATTTTCCCTTTGATACAACTTACTTATAAATTAGAGAAAGAGCTCTTAGTTCCAGCTGGCCAGCACTCTCCTAAATATAAATAACACAGAGTTTTGACAAACATTTCAGAACTATTAAGTAGTGCTTACAACATTCCTCAGCTATTTAATATTTCAGGTAAATTATTTGTATAACATACTGTGATTTGTTCTAAATATGAGAAAATCAAGATGGGTAGTCTATAATATAAACAAATCAAAATAGTAGACCCAAAGTTCTTAGCCATTAGGTAATAACTACACAATTTAAAATGTATAAAAGTGTAACTACTATTTTGAAAAAGGTGGCAGGGTGTTTAGTAAATGTTTATTTAACAAAAAATTGATTAATATTACCAAATAAAATTATTTCTCAATTATTATGGATTTTACTACCACAAAACAGATAACTACCAATCAGGAAAATTTTAATTTTTAAAAAATAAACATTCCCATCCTTTTTTCCCATTAAGGTGAAAAGGTGAAAAGGCTTTGAGTAGTCCCCAACACTGTCTGTCCTTTTCCCAAGCACTATGTACTCTCAGCAGGCTACAGAAACTGTCAACACAATATTTTATTTTTAATAATTATACAGACACAGTATGTCTGAGTTACTATTTCAAACAACTATGAAAAGATGATATCCTCATATTTGCACTTACTTTAGGATCCCCCAACCGTTCCAGATATTTCTCGAAAGATCCTTCCACATACTTCAAAAAATAAAACAAATTTGACTTAGCCAAATATATGACATTATTGCAATTTGATTATATTCTACAGTTATCAGCATCTAATGAGCTTTTTCTTTTGAGATTATAATATACTTCCATCATTTCTCCCTTCCCTTTCCTTTCTCCAAACCCTCCAATATACCTCCCTCCCACTTTCATGGCCTCTTTTTTCATTAATTGTTGTCACATTCATATATGTCTATATATATGTAGATATATACATTCCTATTTATACCCTGCTCAGTCGGTATGTGGGATTAAATGACTAGTCCACTCAGCACCTTAAGATCTACACCTACACAGAAGTCTTGAGTGGAAAAAAGTATCTCAGAAGCTGTGGATTTCAACAAATGCTACACCTTCCAGTTTCTTTTAAAATGTCAACTTAAGTAACTTGACAATTTTAATCAATTTTAATCAATTTGACAATTTTAATCAAAGCAAAACCAACAATCATTAAGGATAAAAATCTGATAGGAGATATATATACAAAGTTAAGCTAAGGAAGGTTTTATACAAAGGATTTCACTGATATCAAAACAGCCCTGAGCACAAACTTTTGCAGGTGGTCGATGTGTTCCACCCTGATTTTGATGGCAGCTACAATGACTTTTATCATGACCAGAATTAAAACTGTTAATCTTAAAATGAAAAATCTCATTGTAAGTAAAATATACCTCCATAAAAACTGAATTAAATTCATTCTCTACAATTCTGACATAATTAGCATAAACTAAACAGTTAATTTAAATAGTGCAAATTTTGACCAATGTATAATTGACATTTAAAATAATGAATTTATCTACAACACTCATACTTGTCTTTGGGCCCTTAAAACTGGTTGGTATTTTTTCTAGTTTTCGCTGAAAAAGCATGTAAATACAGTATAAACTTTTCCGGGAGGTGGGGAGGAGGGGAGGAAAAAAAAAAAAATCAAGCTTCTAACAGTGTTTTACACATCTTTTGTTAGTCAAAATGTGGTCTAGGAAGCAACTACACCCTTAATTTACAAGTTTGTTTAAAATGCAGAAATCTGAAGGCTCAGCTCAAACCTACTGCATCAGAATGTATAGTTTAACAAAAGCTCCAGTGTTATGTATATGCACAAAATACTTGAGATTATGCTGCATGAGACCATCGTCTTGCATTTCAATGTCAGGAACAGTATTTCTCCCAGGTGTGGAGAAGACTATAATCAACAAGATTTAAAGAAGGCTGTATGATATTTTACAATTCACTGAAACGTGTTGAGGAAATCAAAAACAAACCTCCAAGGGCAGGAAGGCAAATACTCAATATACAGTCGAAAGAATGAAAGCAGTAAAAAGTCACATGAAAGGGCATGCTTCAGATCAGACCTTGATAACACTTCATTTAACAAAAACTAGCCTACTGAATGTACAAAGATGTTTTCTAAAGGTTGTTTTTAAAGTCAACCACAGGGGTAGTTTCAATTTTCATAATTCGCCCGCCACATTATGATTAGCAAGCATTTCCTTATAATCGAGTTTTTACAAGACGATTCAAAAATTGGCTGAGAATTACTGAGTCTAGATTAAAATGGACTCTACAATATTAGCAGGGTCAAATCTGTCATGAAATTGTTTAAGAAAGCAGTGGTATGAATAATACAAAACTATGGTAAAAATATAAATTTTATGGTATTGGGAGTTTTTGTTTGTGGAGGAATAAGTGAGAAGGACACTGATTGTTACTTCTTTTAGTCATCATTGTTCTGAATGTTTCTCTATATTGCTCAGACTGGCCTGGCTGGATGCAGGATTCTACTGACTCAGCATGCAGAGTCCTGGGATGAGAAATCAGTGCTGGATTACTGCATGCACCAACAGGCCAGTCTCTTAGTTTTTAATCAGCATAAAAAAAATTCAATTTGTGAAGGAGGTACAAAAGCATGCTATTTCTAGAAAGTCAGCTGAGAATTATATACTTGCTATAGAGAAAACAAGACTGTATGACAATTCAGGTTTCGTACTAGGTACTAAGAAATTTGCTTACTTACTATATACATTACCAATAACTCTATCCAGTGCATATATTCTACTTACAGACTCAAAAGCTTGTTGATTTTCCTTCATATATGAGACACAAACTCTCCTGATGTGCAAATGATGGATCTGGCTGTAAAACAACTGTAAGAGAAAAGACTAGCTCACTGTCGGGTTATTTGAAATAGAAGCTTCTAAATTAAGATGATGAATTAGACATTTGGTTTCCTAATGTAGAACACATGTTGGAAGCAGTAAAATTAAGTCTATCTGCTAGTACACCTGATCTTAGCCAAAGGCGAAGAAGCCAGGCCTTATCTTAAAAATGGTCATCTTTAGTGAGATTGAGGATTAATGACTCTCTCCAGGACTTTCAACTCTGTAAGGGCACAAGCTATAAATCTTTTTCTTATGCATAAAACAAAAGGGAGTAGGGCATGCTTACAAACGACTGAGAGATTCATTTCAAAGTTTTCTTTAACCCCACATTAATGTACCCTTCCCCCATTACAAACTGGTAATGAAAAGCAGAAAAGTAACCACAGGAGAACAGTATTTGCTCTAATTAGCAAGAGTGCACTGTTTCACTGTCGGCTTTTCAGGCAGGCCTGGGTATTATCACTGACAAAACAGAAAAGGTAACATTTCTGTTTCTTTCAGTATACTACAGATTGAGCTAACTGGAACATGCCACATCTTACTCTAAAAACTTAAAAAACAAGACATTATCCATTTGTCACGCTTATATTTACCTGCTCGGAAATAGCCCGAAAAAGGCAAGAGGCATCCTTGGCAATCACCTTTCGAAACAGCCCTAAACTGCCTAAATATTCATCCATTGATGCCTCATTCAAAGACTTCTGGCCGCAGTACTTTTTCCATCCTTTATGCATTGTGCATGGGGTGAGGAGAAAGGAACAGAGGGGTGAAAAAGAAGAAAACACAGAATGCAGGGAGGAACAGGCAGTGGCGGCAAGTACTGGAGCTGGTGTAGGCAGGTATCTCAAACAGCTCAAGGTCTAGGCAGAAGGCAGTTGAGGCAGGGCTGCAGAATCTTGGCACTTCCCAGAAGCAGAAGCAAGAGGCTGACTGGCGCAGGACAAGACAGGACCCTGTGGAAAACAAAAACGAAGAGCAGATGCTCCAAAGAGTAAGAAACTTAAAGAGACAAGGGCAGAAGAAGTTAAACAGTTACAGAAAGTTGGGACTATCAAAATCAGCTAAAGGAATAAAGTGACTAAGCAGCTGCAACTCTGGGGATCTAAAGAAAACTCAGCTGCAATTAAGCATGGGGAAGCTACTTCAGGAGGCTGCAAAGATTACAAAAAGGCTCACGTGTGTAAAACAGCCTACTCCACGACGCTGAGTTTAGAGATCACTCCCAGAATCTCCAAATAGCTTCTGTCCTTCAGAAGCCCTCCAGAGTTTGAGGGAAGTAGGGGTGGGGCATTTAACTAATTCTCTTTAGTATTAAAAACAACTTTTTTAAAAGACAAAGAAAAGGGGAGAGGCCTCCATCTTCTGGGAAGAAGGTCACACTTCAAGCAAAGTAAAAATGCCAAGCAATTGTTTCAAGTATGAGAATAAAGTCAACTCATTTAATTCAAGATAAAAAATTGTCTATTAGGACCACTGAAAATAAATCCACTAACAATGCTAGGAAATCACGATATAATCCTTGAGGAATGTCAAGTTGCTGCATAGTACTAACAGAACATGGAGAAGCATTTAATTGAAAACAGTGAGAGCTAGAGATGGCTCACAGTTAAAAGCAGATGCTGCAAAGAACTAGGGTTCAACTCCCAGCACCCACGCCAAGTGGGTCACAACCACCTGTAATTCCCCTGGTATCCATGAGCATCTGCACTCACATGCACAGTGCACATATCCACACAATCAAATATATTTCATTAAAAATAAAAACAAATCTTTAACAAGTGGAAACAATGGAAGCAGTATAAAATGAATATCTTACACAGAAACTTTTAAAAATGTACATTTAAGATTTAATGGCACATTATTGATGTTTGACATGTTATTACATGTTTTAACATGTTATCAGGGTACTTTGCCAGGAAAAAAAAGTGCTCGAATCCTGAGGGTGGTGGTGGGGGGACACCATTTCTATTATTTCACTCTGGCATCAAGTATCTTATTTTTACGTAAATGCCAAAATACAGCCCTCCTCTTACTCAAAGTGTTAAAAAGTAAGTTTTAGGGACATACAGCTCAATGATGAACCTTGTATACTAGGTTCTTGTACACTAGATTCAATACCAGCACCACAAATAAACAAATGAATAAGTCAAAAGCTTGCTTTCCCTACTGGTCTAGAAATGTTAAAGTTGTACTTTACCCATTTGTACAGTGGTAACACACTAAATTAAATATGGAAGGTCTTATCTACAGGGATACTCTAAATAAAGAGTTGACTTTAGAGGCTTTGCAATGTAAGGCAGCTATCAAAACTGTTATTCTTCTATATGTGAGTCAGTAGTAATTATGACTACTGTCTATAGGAAAAAACAAGGACCATCACTTATAATTTAAGAATGAAATAAAATCATGGTAGACGGGAAATGAAATTTTGATTTTCCTTACCACACCAAATTCATATTACCTTGTTTCTTTTCTAAAGAAACCATAATACAGAAACTTTGTATAAGTTCTGAACCATACTGTTTGGTTATAGAAAGAATCATCATTTTTTAAGATCACTAATTTACTAAGAAAGACTTAAGGATTACAATTAAAAAGTTAATTTATTTTGTCATATTCTACAAGTAAAAACCAAATACAAATTCTTTTTTTTTTTTTTTAATTTTCCAGAGTTGAGGACCGAACCCAGGGCCTTGTGCTTGCTAGGCAAATGCTCTACCACTGAGCTAAATCCCCAGCCCCTAAAATACAAATTCTTTACATCTACTGAACTTCAAAAT